TTTCACTATTTATATGAAAGTTAAATTATTGTTCTACGATATAAATAAACAAGGTATCAATGTATATGCCTTACCTAGTTTATTTATATACGGTTTCACCAATTGCAATGACATTAGTCACGTAACTATCATATTGACTAAACTTAAGCCATAAATAGAATGGAGAACGTTTATTCAGATTTGAAGATATTTAAATAGTAGAAAATAAAATAGTTGCCTCCGAAAAGGAGTCTACTCAGCTACGTTGGGTCTAATGTGCCAACACTGATATTCTGCGGCTTCTTCAGAGCCTAGCGAACTAACGATTCCAACGATGATTGGAAAGAGAATTTTATAAAAAATAGAAGGTTTTAATATACATCACAGTAACTAACCGTAAAGAAAGTGAACAATACTATCTTCGAATGACACTGCGAAGCTTTTAAAAGATGACTTCTGATGTTGAACAATGGGCATTCATCTTACCAGTTACACTTTGTACCACTCTGTCAAAATAAATGTCTTCTCGGTTGATGAATGAATGTCTACAGTATATTGCAATTAAAGAAAGAAGAAAATGATTAGATATTACTTTTTGTATTTTCATTAATACTGTTTTAACTTAAGTATTTTATAGTTTACAATAACGACGCACAATGTATGAAACATTTTGACGGTTCAAAAGCGCAATACATAAGTTGAATAGATTATTGGTGTAAAATAATTCCCGTACCGCGTTTTAAAGCGTTAAACAAGTTTTATTTATAATTTAGTAATGTTATTAATGGTAAATTTGATTGGAATGATACATGTAAACCCTTTTTTTATAGTTGAGCTGGAAATCGCTTCACCGTTTTTGAGAAATTTTGGTAACAAAAAATATCATAGTAATAAAAAAAAGTTATTAATGTTTTTCAAAGATATAGTAACTCGGTAATGGAAATAAAGCCATTTTTTCGATAACCGGTTTGAAATACATATACGGTTTATTTTTCTATTGCAAACACTTTTAAGATCATTTTGAAGGGGCAGATCTAATTTACAGTATATGACTAAACTCTTTTCCATTATTAAAGAATACAAAAAACTGACGTGCGCACACGTGCACCTGTTCAAAGAGGTTTGTTTAGAAGCCATTTCAGGAACAACTCTCCCATTTCACTCGCACACACAGATTACTCAATAAGTGCGAAAGGGAAAGAGGAAATTGTTATATTCCACGTGAGATTAAACGTTTTTATAATCCTGTGATGTCTGCAATTTGTAAGCTCAAATTACGAAGCCATAATAACAGTTTATAGGAACTGTGGCTTGATTGATCTTACAAAGGCTTGGGTGAAATCGCCAAAAATCTATTGTGTTTTAGCTTAAATTCTGTTATGAATGCACAAGCTGTATCCGCGGCTTCGTTCGCGTACACACGTTGTTCCGAGTTTTTTTTTTCGAGAAATTGTTTTGATTGTTTGAAAAATAAATAATCATGCTTTCGTAAATATTTTTTATATATCATGAAACTCTAAAAGATGAATAATATTCTCTGTTTATTCCACATGTCCTACTTTGTCTTCGCTCCTATTGGACGTAACTTGATATTTTTTAGACTAAAGTCTTCTTCGATATATGCTCAAACCAACACAAAATAACTATTCAGTTCGAACCAGTAGTTTTTAAGATACGGCGTTCAAACAAACGAAACAAACTCCTAAACCTTATAATATTTGTGTAGGTAATAACTATATAGATGCTTTGCAGCAGCCGTATCATCGGGCCGAAGTTAAAAATATTTTTCAAATAAGTTTAACCAATATATATCGCGTTTCAAACCGAGTTAGTTTAAAGTTTAAATGTGTACTACTGGCGTTAAGTACATACAGTATTTAATAACTATATTATTAATATTAAAAGTAGCAATAATGCAGCACGATATTCTTGTTATTCTTTCTGTGTAAAGGTAAAATATTTGTCATTTCTAAATTCACGCTAAACGGGGCATGAAGCTGACTTATATTATATATATATATATATATATATATATATATATATCCCTTTAACTGATTATTATTAAATTACACAAGGCTTGACCGCAACTACCTTTTATGTTTCACTAAGTTTGGACTCCCGTACTAAGCAGTACATTTAACCATTGAGTTACGGAGGCGGTCAGCGCACATCGTCAGGTAAAGCTGTGCATCTTAAGATAGCTATTAGTAGTTACTTAATATTATTAATTCGTGTTTTGTAACGATGTTTTCACTCTTCTGAAAAAATAAAGCAATTTACGTATTTCAAAATCCCGCCATTACCGTCTCCCGAGCTTTAAGGACAGTCAGTTCCTAATGCAAGCTTTTTAAAACGGCTTCAGCAAACAATATCAAGATAAAAGCTATCCGAGTCACTCCATCAAAAGCTTAAGGTTTGACGAACTCTACAGCAGATAAGATAACATTATCTAATAGCTAATTAAGCAGATTGCATTTACTTTTATCTCTTTAGCTAAGTTCAATGAACTGTAAAATTCAAACTTAATTCAATTGAATTATATTTCTCGTATATGCATTACTAATCTTCGCTTATAAAAGCATATAGCCAATATTATTTAAAATATTATGTTATCGATTCGATAGTTTGGTGTTAGTAGAGTTTTGTTATAAGTAAATAATTATACCTAAAGTTTTAGTGCATATTAAAAAAACTATTTTCAAAAGAATTCAAACATGGTTTACTGTTTGTTGGTCTAATGATAGCAATGTATTGCTAGGTATCAATACGTACCATTATGTTTCTAATTAATTTATATGTGTACTGAACATATAAGTTAAGATGGTAGTCTTAATCTGGTTGGGTATATCGGAATTCCGTCATTTCAGTTAGTGGTTAGCCGAATGCTCAAAGCCATAATAGGTCGACAGCAAACAATAGCATCTTGTTTAGATGTTATTTGACTTGGATATTTCACCACCGTCAAGTGAACTCCAAGCCAATACATGTACACCATAGACAACTGATGATAACACCACAATCGTCGGCAAAGACAATATTACCGATAATTCTCGATTCAATTCGTTTGAAGAACGTTTATATTTTAATATGAACCTTTAGTAGGAAGAATAAAGACTTTGCAAAGTGCAAAACATTAAAAAGATATATCATAAAGCTAGCTAAACACACTTAAAAGGCTAGTTATTATAAAAAATGCGAGAAAATATCAAGCCTGTCCATTTCATTATGTTGATGTACATTCTTTCAAATAGCCCACGTTCTATACAATAAAATTCTCTTCATCCCTTGCGGAATGTCTAGCTCGTGCCGTTCACGGTTTTTATGTAACTACCTCACGGTTCTAGGGCGATTTTCACGGATCTAGGCCAGGCTAGACACATCTGCTCACAAGAATTGCTTACGGAGATAGTGGAAAATAATATTCGCTATGGTTATAACCGTAAAATTTTAGTTATTTTACGATTATAGTTAGTACTTTGCATGTTTTACTACAAGTAGATTGGTTTAACCGAATTGTTATTATGTTCTTTTTCTTTAGACATGGTTATTTTAATAATTTTAAATAAATATGCTTAAAAAATATTAGTGACCATCTATTAACTTATCTAAAATTGCACTCAAGTGTATATAATATCACTACATACATATATTAGGTTACATAAATGATTTTTTTATAAAACAGTTTTAAAAAAGGAAAAGCGTTTTTATTATTTTTTGTAGACTAAAATCTTCTTAATCTTGTATAAAGCACCTTTTACGGTTTAAATTAATATAATAAAATTCTTTCAAATATCGTCGTTTTGTCTGTTTGTGTAAGATATTATAATTTTAGACTGTATAAGTACTCAACTTTCCAATATTAAAATTAGTCTATCTTGTCTCCCAAACTTCATCTCTATAACATCCATGTCGGGTCGAACGAACTTTTTTGTCTAGCCCGTTGTAATTACGGGCATGTAAATTGGATCGTATTCATCAACCTCATACTTCGTTGGAATTCGAATTTGTTTTCGTGTTATTACTTTATGGAGAACTAGCGATCCGCCCCGGCTTCGCTCGGCGGCAATGCGATACTAAATACACTACAGAAAAACTGTGAACTTTTGATATAAAAACCTTCCTCTTAAATTACTCTGTCTATTTAAAAACGTGTCAAAATCCGTTGCGTAATTTTAAAGATTTAAGCGCACAGAGGGACAGAAAAAGCGACTTTGTTTCTATACTAATTACTAAGTAGTGATTTGTATTAAATGCGATGTAATGTTTTTTTCTGCTCACGAGTGAAATAAGAATAGATATGTTACGAGCATAAATAAATGCTTAGGTAGATGTGCTATGTCATACAACAGTTAAATAATAATAGATTTATTGAATCGCGTTTTAAATCGTTTTAAACTTTTTTTAATGTATCACTTGCGTGAACTACAGACAATACTTTAAATAAAACACTTTAACGGTTTAAAACGCGATATATTAGTAACTTATTTGAAAATGATTTTTAATTCCCGACGTTTCGGATCTTTGAGACACCGGGGGGGGAAGGGGGAAAAAAAAAAAAAAAAAAAAAAAAACGGGTTTAAAAACCGTAAAAGGTTTTTTTTAATTGTAATACTCGCGTAAACTATAGACAGTATTTACAGACAATTATTTCCTTTTATATAAAATCAACTTTATACTTCACAACTTATTAGTTAATCCACCTGTTAACTTAACTTAAAAAAAATAAGCTTAACAAGAAGACCCCGAAAAAACTAAAACCAGTCCTATCATCCAAATAGAACGGGTTAAGTTATTGGTACAGAAGTCACGTCATCGACTGACCCTAAGCTAGTGTCATCAACCTAACTTCCTATAGTATTTTAGACCTTATTTCATAAAGAATAGAGTTAATTTTCAAATGTATACTAGTGGCTTCTGTAAATGAGACCCACCGTTATAAGATACGAATGTCATGTATTGTTCAAAGCTTGTTCTAAGTGACCGTTTGTTTTCCTAACACTTAGCGAGGATGAAACGGAAGATTACCTGAACGTGACCTCTCTCTCGCTCTGTTCCAAAATCAAATGCTTTCTACTTGCTTCCTATAAATTAAGTAAAATGTTTTCTTTGGTTTAATTTTGTTAAATCTGTTCTAACCTATTTTCTTCTTCTTTCTGTTCTTTCTTTTGAAGCTCTCACACTCAACATGAAATTCGCAATGCCAGTTTGCCAATTTGAAAAACTTTTACACACTTACCTGTACAGCACTGTTCAAGAAGCAATTGTTCTGCCCTGGCGCGTTCCAAAGACCTTTTGTAGTATGAAATATCCCCGAATCTCTTGAGTTATCACGCGAATGGTGAGGTATTAGTTCTCCATCGTGGATGTAGAGGTCATGCGCAGGCGCCGACATGGTGGTCGCCATATTTGTTTACACTGCAGTCATGATCCTTTCTCAATTAGAACATTGTTTAATCTGAAAATAACAAGAAGACTTATATTACAACTTACAGTTGTTTCAATCTAGTGAAGCGGTATGTGTAACCGACATTAGTTCACCAGGCCGGGAGTTTGATCCCAGGTCGTGCGCTAAATTATTTATTTTTAGGTATATACTGACATGTGTCACTGGTAAAGGGAAACGTGAGAGAACGTACATGCCCTAGAATCAAAAATTTCAACACGATTAAAGCAAAATTAGTTTTTACCCGATTAAAAACTAAGTTTGCTTTCCCGGAGTCCTGCCGTTGGGAACTGTTAAAGATATAATAACGATAAAGTCTCTTTAGGCTACAAAAGTATGCAAAATACAGTAACATTTCCGATTACAAAACTTCTTAATAATCTCTAATTAAAGTTCCCGAATAAACTTAAACAATGGGTGTCTTATTTCCCTTCTCATGCAGTCGATTTTAACGAAATATAGTACTTTGAATTACGTAAAGCTGTTCTGTACTTACAATGCTAGTCGCGATTTAAATACCGTTAATTCATTGTTTAATTACTAAGAACCGCGTTATTTGGCTAAACAATTGCGTTTAACAATTATTTTTCGCAGTCGCCCTCAGTTTTAATAAAGGAATGTTGAAAAAATCAGTGCTCTTAATAAGATACATCTAAAACATTACTGTTTTTCTCTATTTGGAAGGTCTTTATTTATTAATAACAAATTAATTATTAGATAGCAAAAAAGTTTTTCTTCCTTCATCTTGGTTTGCTTGTAAAAGATAGCTTGTTAGCGCTAAGGCCGCCCATATTTTTTGTGTATAAGTCTTGTTTATATATTTCTGTATACGTGTTAATAAATGAAATATAGAGACCCGCACAGTTCTATTGTATAGAAGCTTATTATGTATAAACCCTTCAATGCGGCGATGACATGAGAAAAATAGATGTCCGCACGGAAGGACTGTGATTATACTCTGGGGGCTGTGGTCCCTTGACGACATAATGACTACTTGGAGACATTCTTCGCAGAACACAAGTCGTTGTTATTTTATGATTTAGAAATACTGCTAGTACCTATTCTTATGTCTATTTGAACACTATTAGTTTTAGAATATGATATGACGCAAACAGGACTAGAATCCACGAGTAGTAATAACGTGACGTTGTTCAGCGAACTGCGTTTCGACGTCAATAAATGTATAATATCAAAATAAATTTTGGTATATTTCACTCATGAAACATTAAGATACTTCGCCTATATCAAAATGTAGTATAAAAAATTATCGCTATAAGTGTGACGCTAGCTTTATTAAAGCGCGGTTTTAGAAATAGACAATGAATATTTTATTAGAGGAAATTCGATTTTGAGGTGAACCAGAGCACGATTATGCGTCCGGCACATGTGTTAAGTTCGGCAAAACGATTAAATTATAAACGGCTCCATTTTAAACAATATGATTTATTCCTGTGTACTACTAAAGACTTATTGGCTAATTTATGTGTACCGGTCGCTTTATTAGCAAATGTGTTGCCATAATAATATGTTGCAAGTTTGAGACATCCACGTATTTTATAAATGGCAAGATTTGGCTAAGATTTGCCAACACTTTATAGCCAGTCTCGGAAATGTCAAATCTTCTAGTCCAAATGATGACTTAACACAGATTTAGTGAAGTTTTTTTATATGCTACAACAACTCGTTAAATATCAGGCGGTAGACAGGCTAGCCTAACTGCAATTTTATAACTCGTCTTAAGTATAGTTTTATAGTCTAAAATGTTAATCTACAAGAGCACAGTGAAAAATTCTTAACATAATTGTTACACAAGTAATAGGACAAATTAATTAATTCTTATGGCTTGTAGTATTTTATTTGTTCTTGCCTTTACATACTGTATAAAAGTTTAATTTGGCTTTACACATCATCTAGTAACTGACTCCTACTTTACAGCTCTATATTAACTGTTTATATTATGTAGCACGTCCCAACGCAATACAAACAGTTTAGGATATTTCGGTCTGATCAGTGCCGATCTTCGATAATTCACCAAAAATATAGGTCAATTCCTTGATATCACTTGCGTAAACCGACCAGATTTTACAGTACAGGAATGCTGTGATTACGGAAGCAAATAAAGTTGGACAGAAATATTTTTCAACATCTGCCGATTACCTCCCGTTTATGTTTCTTTTAATGTTTTGTTAACGTTACGATTTCAACATCATGTAATTTTTCACCTACAAACCTAAATATTGCATCAATTTATTTATCTCAGAAATAAATTGTTAAAAGATCTGATAAATAAACAAAAATGGTAGAGTTAATCAATGGTAACTGTTCTGCTGCGTACGACGTACTTATTAGGTTTTAGTTGTGTAATCGGTGCTTTTGTGAAGATCTAACAAGCAGAAATGTAGTTATTAAAACGATATTTAAGGTTAGTATAATAACTAGCTGATAGTTAGTGTAATAACTAGATTCTGGTAGATAAATATATATTTGTTGGCATTTCGACCCATTTGCAATACTCTTATTATTACTTAAGACGTGTAAATTAAAGAACAATATGTAAAAACATATAAGGATTAAGGTATTCTCAATTCAAATTTTAAGGCGGCAAAACCTTTTAGATAAAACCTCTTCAAACTTCGATACTGTAAATATCTAAGTATACGGTCGATCAGAATAGAGGTGCTCGTTATAATTGGAATAGGATTAGGCATACGTGGTAGAAATTCTTTATACGTGATAATAATGATGGTAATCATCCGTAATCCGGCCGCCGCAGACCGCATTCCAAACTTTAATACGTTCGCTTTTTCACTTTCTTTCCATTTAAAAATATTGTCCAAGCAACGTGATGATAAAAACTTTTTTTTTTGTACTTTTAAAACATTTCAGAGCTTAGGTTCTCGGTCAGGCTCTCGGTGACTAGGTAGGTAGAGCAACAGCACGGAATGTTGACGATGACCGTTAAAATCTTACCCGAGTCGAAAAAAAATTTTTCAATTTATTTTCGATTTTGAAATTTTTTCTTCAACAAATATTACCTTAATTATCTCGATGTTTTATTTATTTTCTTTATGAACCAACTATCTGCTCATATTCCTCAAAACATACTTATTCATTGGTAAGCAAGAGCGAAAGACAAAAAAACACACTTATGAATTACGTGTAGCTCAATTCTGGGATTTCAGCGACAAAAAATACGTTTCTCGGAAGAGCTTAAATGTAAAAAATACTTAACTCATAAAGTCAAGTATTAGTAATAAATAATTTTAAGGCGATAACCTTAAAAGCTTTCTCATAACGGTTCAAGTGGCGACTTAAAAGCTCAAGGCGATGATGTGTACCGGAAAAAAGTAGGTAAGAAGCATTTATCTTAACATACAATAATAGAGACATTGTATAATATTTTCGTTAGATAAAAAAACGGCAATTTGCATTGTAAGAAACATGACAATTTTTTTTTTTTTTTGAATATAGTTCTCGATTGTGGCTTTATTCTGATCAGGTTTACTTACTGCCTTAAGGAGATTAATGGAAATTGATTTTGAGTTTCAAGGATTTGTATATTTTTTTACGGCAAACGGCAAATAAAAAGCAAAATAAAGATTAGTAAAACAGACGCTAATATGTGCCTAACCTATAATCAATCAAAAATACTTAGTACTTTTAAATTAAACACTTTAACGGTTTAAAACGCGATATATTAGTTAAACTTATTTGAAAATGATTTTTAACTTCGGCCCGACGTTTCGGATGTACTACTCGCGTAAACTATATATAGTATATACTTAATACTGTTTAAAATAAATAGCGATTTGTTTTGGCTTAGTTTTTTTTACTATACGATTTATTGTGTACATTAAAAGATAATCTATTTACGCTTAAAATTTTACAGTAAACAACACAAATAATACAGAAAAAATTTTGATAGAAGAAAATCGGATAAATTGCAAAAATAATGTTCTCGTCCAGTTTTCAGATAGGCCAGTAATCACCATTTATCTAAAGAATTTATGCTTTTTACGAACGTATCCGTTCAATAAGAGGACGTCGGAGTCTACCGCATTAATTACTCTGTTTAGAAAAACTATCGGCGACTAATGGCATTCGAGTTCCAATGATAATTAAGGATTTAATTGCAAACGTAATTGTTGATAAAAGGGAAATAGGTGGCTTCATCGGTCACGTAAGCAAACAAACAACACCGGTATCTGTTAGTTGGTTCACATTATTTTCTAGAACAACTAAACCGATTGTAAAGTTTTAAACAGTACGTTTATCTTACTACGACTAAAGCAAAATTTTATCATGCTCGTTTGTGTAATGGTAGCAATGTTTCGCTAATCATTATCGGGTCGTGAGTTCGACACCACCAGTTCTTCTATTTTTTTTATTTCTCTGAAACATCGGACTTACTTGGACTTCGTGTGGAAATCTGGATATTAAACTGGTGTTAGGAATATCGAAATACCGTCTCGAACTACCGCCCACAGAACAAAAGGACGTCAAGTTTAATCGCGTTTCGCTTTCAGTCTGTGGATTTCTAAATGTTCAAAGCCAAAATAAGTCGACAACACACCTTGTTCCTATATGGCCTGTATTTACATGGGTCGGGTAATTTTTTATATTACTATTGTGGGAGACGAAGTTTTTACCTAACATCAAGTATAGCCTCGGCATCGGCCTCGTCTTGTCCTCCTCTATGTGGGTGGGAGCTAGAAGAGTTGGACGGAAGCTCACCCGGGTGAGCGGTACGCGAAGCGAATGAAAGGTTGGGTACAAAAAATATAACACATACTTTATACAAAATAATAAGAGCACATACTATCCAAGTATTTGAAATAACCTTTGTAGCTTATAACTGTAAAACATAATTATATTCATAGCCTATCAATCAACACAAGTCATGATTGATATCAACACAATAGAAGCGCAACGTATGGGGCGTATATTTTAGACAATATGGAGATTAGTACAAATAGTACTAACACATAGTTCGTATACACACATCGCCACAAAACCTGTAATACGTGACACAAAAGGAGCAAAGGAGGCTGTGCGTGCGCCGACCCACGAGACGGCACGAGTCAAATCGCTACTCGGATTTATGAGGTGTGTTATTTATTGCTGTATTCAAACTACTTGTGACTTATCTTTACCGTGTCGTGTATATATGATAGGATAAGTAGGTATGTGGTAGGTAGTTGTGGTTGATTAAAACAATAATAACTATGTAAATTTTTAGAACTTCAATAAAAAAGTTATAACCAATCAATTTCAAGTAAAACTAGCTTGAAAACAAAAGCCAAATTAATATAATATGATGCTGGTCTACCTTAATATGATAAACCAATAAAAAAAAGAATTAGCCATTAGTATGATCCTAAGGTTATGGCCTCCTATAAAAGTAATAAGCACTGTATTATTGAATTCAATTATTGGTAACTATCGGTACATGGCCCGATATTAATATCGACTAGCTGTGTCAGCGACTTCGTCCGTGTAGATTAGTTATTTTGGGCTTAAAATTTGTTTCACAACCTCGTCGTCATCTTTATAAGTTCTAGCTATTAAGTGTTGCCGACGACGTTGGTCGCGTCCCGTCGTTCTTGCAGGTTAATCTTAAAAGATAGACATATATCCTGGATATTTTCTTAGATTATTTAAAGTAGCATAATCCTTTGATACATATTTTATGGGTATTTTGAACAATTATCGCAGGGCAAACGATGGAAGCCCTTATAGGTTGATAACCCTGTTTTACCACAGTTTTATAGCCTAAAGCCTTCCTTGTTAAATGCTCTAACCAAGACTCGGTTTTTGTAACTCGAAGCAGTACTTCCTGAGATTAGCGCGTTCAAACAAACAAACAAACTCTTCAGCTTTATACTTATATTAGCAAAGATTGGAACAGACATCATAACGACGTTACCCATTTACAAGAGACCGCAGCCTATACAGAATGCATTCAAAAAATAATCTTACAGAAAGCGTGACTGGTCATCTGAAGATGACTATATTTTACGTCCATCGACATATAAAGCCATTATATTTTAATGCAGTGACAATGTAACTCGCATAATGAGGAGCCATCAGTCAATGACATGGCTACAAAGATTGCCTTAGAAACACCTTTAAAGTAATATACAAATGGACCATTAGTCGGTGACAGAATAAAAAAGTTTACTCAATGTCTAAATTTTTCAAAAAGAGATATCGCATAGTACATAGTAGAAATACGGCTTCTGTGTAACTAAATGTAAAATTAAATTAGTAATTATTATAATTTAGTTTATTAAATTAATTAAAACTTTAATGTGTGTTGTATAGAAAGTTTTTTTATACCTTCGCGCCTTAATAATTAAAAATATTATACCGATTGCAATAAGTGTCAGTGCTCTTTAATCCTTCAATGATAATTAAATAGATTAAAAATTTAACAAAAAGAACGACACGGGCATGACTTGAACCGACTTCCACAGCGTTGCGTGCTGTTGCTCTAACAAATTGAGCAACCGTCTCCTAGAGTAATTGGTTAAAGCAACAGCACGAAAAGGTATGGATGCCGCATCAAGTCCTGCCCGTTATTTTATTTAATTTATAGTCGATTTTTAATTTTATATAAGTAGTGCCGTAAGGTGTGACAAAATATTAAAGTGTTCAAATAATTTAATAGGTTTTTGACCAGGTATGGAGACAAGACTTATGACTCGAGACAAGTTTGAATAATGTATGATAGGTCTTTATTGCAATGCAATCTTTATCCAAGTTCGCGACGTATGTAAAAAAGGATAAATTCTAGAATTTATAAATAAACCTAGTCTGAAGATCGCAATATTAAAAGCAATAAATGTCCCGTGACTAAAAATAGCACAATTATAGGCTGTCTCATTTTGCAAATAATAATAATAGTCCGTGGTAAAAGGTGGTATATTTTCGTATCCATATGAACAAAAACTACCACCTGACTAAGCACGTGCTTGTTCACCTGTTCCAATAAATTGACCCTTTACAAATCGATAGTTTTTGCATAGCATAAGGAACCTTTATTGTATGAACGCAGGCAGAATAAAAATTTTATACATAGGTTGATACAACATGATTTCATTGAAATCATTATAATTATTTCATGCAAATAGAATAAAATAATTGCAAACGAGTTTTACATATAGATATTACTTGACAAGTGTATTTATAACATGATTGAGGAAAATTTACAATTATGGCCAGGATACTTTATCTTAAAATAAACTAAAATTATATCAGCATAATTTCGTTTGAGTGAAATACCGAGTTATCTAACGGGGATAATCCCGACATTAGAAAGAAGAATAATACAATTTCGTTCATTACACTATTGCGATTGGAATTATTTTACGGGCAATTGAAACGCAAAATACGGGTACAAAAAATGTTACAGTGTCATGTGGTCGTTAAACGTACAGCAATTAAGCATAACATATATCTACAGAACTATTTCAAAATAAATTTCATTATATCTAAAAACATCTCATTTTTAAATAGAAATAGTATAACTCAATTTGCTTTTTCACATACATTTCAGAGTATAAGTAAAAAAGAGATAATTAATTAAATTAAGTGTAAACTTACATAAATGTGTTGTAAAGCTAGAAATCCAAAGCTGAACACTTTCAACCCAACTTGAGTCACGCTTTTCACACCTTTGTCTGGTCCAACTTAACACCACACAATAACTATTCCAAAACCTTGTAGAACAATTAATGGTTCAATGAAAAACTTACACCAAAAACATTTTCATGGCAAAAGTTATTCCATTTTTAAAATACGAAAATGTAACGATCTTTTTTTAAATCTCCCGCGCTTCTCGCTTCACGGCGGGCATCGACTTAGCCAGGCGACGCGCGTCCGATCACAAGGAAAGCCGGTTCGGAGCTGTTTGGATTGTTTTATTTTGAACTCGTCGCGCGTCGAAGCGAGCATATTATACAGTATACGTCGCCTAAAAAGTAAATTGAAGAAAGTTTTACATTAGTATGGAAATTGGAAACGCCGATTGTGTAATTACTAATTAGGTTATTGTCATAGCGATAGAACGCAGTTGCACATTCTATTGTTTTACGCCTATTTGGCAATATTTTTCATAAGAGACAAAGGAACGTGACCTAGGCACCATTTGCGTACTGTGTGTTGTAAAAATCGTAGCCTTCTCCTAGAAGTAACGAGAAGACAACATTCAGAAATAAACACGCACGCTCTTATTCAAATAAATAATTTGATTAATCTATAAAGACAGAAACTAATATTACAAATTATAATTTCGGACTAAGTATAAATAATAATATTTAGTCTAGTGACTAAATAAAACACTTTAATGGTTTAAAATGCGATATATATAAGTTAATAAAATAGGTTTAACTCTATGGGGTATATATCGTGTTTAAACTGTAAAAGTGTTTTATTTAAATGGTACTATTCGCGTAAACTAGAACAAAATTGAGTGTAGCGTCGTTAATTAAACCATAAATTCATGTTCAATTATTTACTTTCGGGGCACCGATCGATAGATGGGCGATGTACACATCAGCTGACGATTTTCTACGAGTCCCCCTGTGTACCCTCAAAAAACAGTAGTTTCTCAAACATATTGTAAGATATTGTGTATATCGTGTTAAGGTATCTCTATCTATGAAAATGAACGAACACATCTTAACCAAATTAAAGAAAAATAAAAAAACAAACGTAAAACAAAAAAATGTATATCAGTAAAAAATTATAATAATACTAACTAACAAACATTCATTGTAGAATACTAACTGTTAACATCAGTTTCTATAGTTTCAATATCTTCAATACTGATGTCTCCAGCGAATTCATCTGGTTTCATACCACGCTTTAAAAATGGTTCATGCAATGCCTTGTAGAGTTTCTTAGCTTTCGTAGCTCCGAAGCCAGGGCAATCTGCTAATCTCTTCTCGGTAGCTTTAATTATGTTTTCTAAAGTTCCAAATGTGGTTATGAGAGTCATAGCGTCGGTTTTGTTGACAGGTTTAATTGAAGACAGAGCATTTACTATCTAAAATTAAAATAAATACCCAAAAATTTAATAGCACATAGTTTTAATGATCATTCATTCTCAATTTATCAAATTGCAGATTAGTAAGAATTAGTAAGGTCTTAAACGAACTTACTTAAACCAAGTAGAGACTTCCTACCTAGGACTTCACCCATCTTTTACCCAAGGTAACAATCTTTGTTAGGAACAGGAATACAATTGCAGTAAACAGTTACCTTTTGATGAGGATCATTTTCTATTTTCTCCATGATTCTATCAGGTGGCTTATTTTCATATATTTTGTAGTTTTCAATAATTTTTGCAGCTTCCAAGGGGCTCCAAGCAAGCATTAGCGTCAAGTCTGTTAGCAAACAAATCCTAGTTAGATTTTTAAGTGCTGCATGAGGATCTTTTAGATCCACCTAGAAAGTAAATTGGTATCATTACTTGTAATGTGTTATAAACCACATAATATTGCAAAAAATATTTTAATATTGATGTGTAATAAATATGTAATGTGTATGTTAAAAGATTGGAAATAGTACAACCACACAAAAAAATTAAAAAATTGTTATAATAAACAAACCTGATATTTGATACAAACCTGAACTAATAATACCCTTAAATCATACTTTTTTCCAAGTTCCTTGAGCCTGTTATTTATATAATCTGGATTCAAGTTGTGATATCGAACAGATAAGAACAATATACTGATTGTTTTGCCTATTTCATAATCGGGGACTATTTCATCAAATTCCCATGCTACACTGACAATGTGTTTTAGTAGCGGATTTCCTCTCTGTGAAAAAATGTTCCAGCTGCTTCATAACTATTATTGAAGGAATAAATTATCAACTTAATAAATAAAAATAGAAACAGATTGGATTACCCAATTTAATTAACTTGGTTTATCAAGTCAAGACTTAATAATAAGACAGATAATCACCTGCTTTTGATTTACTAATACACAGTGTGTCTTTGAAGCAGATTTTGTTGAACCTGTAAAGATGTTTGTGACATTATTATTTTGTAACATCCCCATGATTCATTGGTTATAAAAATCTCTTCAGACATCGATTCGATGGTATGATTCTGTTGGAACCATGTCTCAAACAGGCATTAAATAATAATAATAATTATTGAAACTATCAAAGGGACACCTTCAACCTAATTTCTTGCAACTCTTTGGTAATTGAGAATAAAATTTTAAATATCAAATAAAATATAATGTAATTAAATTGTATATATAAATAATATAATTTACCTGAAGGTTGAGGATCCTGTTTAGAAAGCTTTGGTGGCGGTTCAACAATTTCTGCAAGCAAATCATCCAAACCATCTTCCTCCATTTCTAATTACTTCTTCATTCGATTATTATCAAATAACGATTAAGGTATTTAGTAGATGTTTTTAAATTTATTAAAGAAGTACTCTAACATGAATTTTTATTAGATTAGGACCAAAACAATCATTATATACAATCTAATACACATTACATTTAAGTTAGATTTGCATTTTTGTAGGTAGTTCCTTAATTTTTTATTCACATTTCGCATTTATTTATTTTGATTGTTTTTTAATATTTTGACAATTTACATTGCAGACAACTTTTTGTATGACTTTGACGTGAAAGACAGATGTGTCAAAGATGACATATAACAACTCTGCTTGTGAGAACAATAATAATAATTGTAGGGTCCGAATTATTTTTTGGTTTTACACTTTTAACATTGGAATTATAAATGTTTGTCATCTCTGTATAGTTATTCGATTTTACTCTTACTTACTTGCTCAGTGGTTTTACTTTATACACTTTACTATTTATTATTTCCAAAACAAACAGAAGATTCTTTAATGTTATTAATAATTTACTCTTAACTACTATGAATTATACATCATGAATAAAAGTTTAAACAAGATAGAAAATAAAGAATTTGAGGAAGATGAAATTTTTGACGATTCAAACTTGCTGGCTAACTTTGAAACTTCAGAGTTTAAAGACAATTCCTTTGATGAAAACTCAAATAAAAATGCCCTTAATGTCAGGTAAGCTTATTTGGAATAGTTTTTGTCTACTGCTACTACTGCTACCTAGGGTAATTAATTCTTTTAATATATTTCATTCAATTTAGTGCTCTATGCTGTGATGAAGAAATAAGTGGCTATGATAGGCTTACCGGCAAAACATGGATATACCCTACAAATTACCCAGTGAGGGATTATCAGTTCAATATTATACATGCTGCCATCGTAAAGAACACATTGGTAAGTGGTTGTAATCCCATATTAATAATATCTACATTAAAAATACAATGTATGTGTAATTACATTATACAGATACAGACAACATTCTTGGCTCTAAACTTATTAAATATTGATTAAATATTCAGTAAAGTAAGAACACTAACAATTTAACAGTAAAAGATAAAGATGAAGTATTGATATTTTAATTTACAGGTAAGCTTACCTACTGGGTTGGGCAAGACATTTATAGCAGCTGTTATAATGTACAACTTTTATAGATGGTATCCTCTGGGTAAAATAGTGTTCACCGCACCAACAAGACCTCTGGTCGCACAGCAGATTGAAGCGTGCTATAACATTGTAGCTTTACCCCAAAAAGATACGATTGAAATGACAGGTGAGATATTTAGTTATAGTTTTTTTATGTATGGTAATAGGAAGTATCATTTACTGTAATTTGTTGACATCTTCAAAAATAATAATGCCTATATAGGCTTTTAGCGTAACAGAATAATGATTCAGGATCCTAAAAGTTTTGAGTCTATGCCCAAATGAGACACTACTGTCCATGAACCATGATTTCCCTTGCTGCTACAAAAAGAATCAAAATAAATATTTACTCTTAAAGGTCTTCCATATGCCAAATGTGTTTTTAGAGATTAATATGTGTTACGCCAAAAGTAATCAGGAAATACCATATTTATATCTATTTCAGGTCACATGCAAGTGAACTCCAGAAAGCAACATTGGCAAACAAAAAGGGTGTTTTTTGCAACTCCCCAAGTGATATACAATGACATTAAATCTGGTATTTGTCCAGGTGATAAAATACGGTGCCTTGTAGTTGATGAAGCTCATAGAGCGAGAGGAAATTATGCATATTGTCAAATAGTTTCAACGCTAAGTGATATGGGACACAAGTCATACAGAGTGGTTGCTCTATCTGCCACTCCCGGGAGTAAAATTGAGGATGTCATTAATGTATGTTTTTATAGCACCTAAGTTTTCCTTTTTTAGAGCATAGATGATAATCTAGACACCACAAAAATCCAGTAAGATCCAAAGAACTTTAGTGGTAAAATGTTTTATTTTGCAGGTTGTAAAGAATTTGAACATTGCTCATTTGGAATTGAGAACTGAAAACTGTATAGACGTCGCGCCATATAGCCACTCTCGCAAAGTAAACACTGTAGTTATCAAATTGGGACCAGAATTAACACATTTAAGACAACAATATGTAGATGTGAGTTAGATGTAATTTTTTTTCCCTGTATAAAATTATATTAGCTTTATGCCTTAAGCTCTGGATTCCTGGGTCTGAATATCAGGGATGTGTGTAAAGTTTTTGATCAGGCAGAAAAAAGAGTGACATTGGTGAGTTTAAGGGACAAAGAAAGATGTCTGTTTATTGTTTAGATTCTAGATGGATATGCAAGGAGATTGAAACAGTTGAATATTTTACCCCATAATTTGGGCAATCTTTCAAAAGGCCGAGTAGTTATGATGTATAAGGAATTTCAAAATAGAGATCGCAGTAACAGGTACGTAGTACAAACAAAGATATACTTTTATGTAAATTATGAATTTTCTACTTACATATTACATTGTAACAGGCACCCTCAACACAATATCATAATGAAGGATTTTACTCTCCTGATTGCTCTTTACCATGGCTTAGAATTATTAATGAAACATGGATCAAGAGTATTCCTCAACTTTTTCGACGAACATCCAGAGAAGTCATGGATACAGGGGGATGATAAATTGACATCACTTCTAGAGAGGTTGCGGGACGACCTTGGAATCAATCCCTTGTCTTTAGACAGAAGTATACTACCAGATGGATCTGTACCAGAGGTAAGAAATTACATATAATTTTACAAATATAGTCAAGATACTATTGCTTATCTCTGTAAACTTTTTTTAAATATATATCTTACAATAAATATTTTTTTTAATATCCTAGTATGAATTTTCAAGTTATAGTTCAATATATTATTTTTAATAACAATACTACAAGGTATATACAAGGTATAATATGTGATTTAAGTATTGACTTTAGAAATAATTATTAAATTATTGTTATTATTAAAATTATAATATTTCAGATTCCAAAAGATTTGTGCTTTGGTCATCCTAAATTTTATAAACTGAAGGAAATCATGTTGGAGCATTTTCAAAAGGCAAAAAAAGACAGGACAAAACACAAAAGCTATAGGTTTGTGTTGTTTTTCTCACCATGTAATAAAAATACTAAACAACGCTGAACTGTGGAATATAAATGTCATTTGTAATAAAATCTATTTTTTTGCTTTTGTAGTCATACTGCCTTTAACTGTTGTCGATTTTACATTGTTGCAGTGTTTTGTGAGTATAGAGAGAGTGTAAATCTCGTGCATTGCCTTCTATTGCAGTGTCGCCCACTCATCGTGCCTCTCATGTTCGTAGGACAGGGCGCTTCGGGTTAGTATCTTATAATTTTATAGATAGTAAGGACAGTACATCAATAATAAGCTCTAACATATTTATTATTTACACTTAACTAATTGCACTATAGATGGAAAAACAAAACAAACCAGTCTTATATACTCGAATAGAATTGGTGGCCTAATAGCTCTTCAATTTAAAAAGAAAAATATATTAAGTATATAGCATTAGTCTTTGTAATATTTACAGGCAAGGATGGAAAGACAGTTGTATCTCAGAAACAGCAGTTGCGCGTTATGCGATCGTTTCGAGAAGGAACGTGCAACACGCTTGTCTGTACCTGCGTGGCTGAAGAAGGTCTCGATGTCGGGTCGGTAGACCTTATATTGTGTTTCGACATTTCCACACGGTCGCCAATACGTCTTGTGCAGCGGTAAGTTTAATGAAAATGCATACTGTAAGACCGCCCAATGACATCGACATTTTTTCATGTTGTGCCTCTGCATAATCTTGCCTCTAATAAAAAAGGCAATCATTAATTGAATGAATTTAATGTGTAGATGCGGTCGCACTGGAAGAGAAAGAGGCGGTCAGGTGCACATTCTAGTCACAGAGGGGAGGGAACACCAGGTAAAGTAAAATAGAATTATCTTACGATAATAATCTTGGACATGATTAGACATTGCCTTCTTTGAAAAAGGTTCCAGAGCAAAAACTACTTGAATTGTTACACTATTAAGTTGTTTTATATTTAGTAAAGAAGCAGTCCTGAAGTACCTAATCTAGATATAATAACAATTTCTTTCTTATAAACGCAAATGATTTTATGTATAACAAACACATCTTTAGACCCTTATAGACTGCATGCGTCAAAGAGATGGCCTAAACAACCGAATATTACAATCGAAAGAAGTAGAAAACAACTTGTACAAAGCGAATCCTCGTATGATTCCTTATGACTTTACGCCCGCATGTCAAAAGATGCACATCACTGTACCTAAGAAACAAGACTCTAACGCTGACAAAAGTAAAAAGGTTAGTTGAATCTTGCATGTAACTGTGTTTTAATTAAAAAGTAATATGCATCAAGGAATGAAACACTGGCCTTTTGGTCGCGAGAGAGTGTTATTTGTCTTATAAAATGAGGAATATACTTTTCATTTTGGCCTTATATTAGCGGTCGATACAAATCAAGTTAGTAGTTGAGTAAACAAATATACTTACATTTATTATTTATATATGTGCTAGGTTTAATTTTAAACACTTTCCTTTAAGGGTCAAAAAGATTTAAGAAATATGCTAGACAGTACAGCTTCAACAAGTAAAACAAGCTTTACAAAATATGTGGAGGGCTCAGAATTAATATCTGAAGAGAAATTCAATGATTTATTTAAAGAAGGATTTAAAAGCTTTCGACGTTTAAGGGATCCTTTGGAGTACTGGACCATGGGAAAAGGTAAATTTGTAATAAGCTGTTTTTATTTATGAAGTATTATAACAAATAACAATATAGATGAAAACTAATTTTTAGATGCATTAATAAAAATAAGCAAACAAGTAGATAACTATTTACAATTACATACATGGCTTGAGTGGCAAAGATCGTTACACACAAAAATAAATATAGGAAGTTCAACCGATACAGAAATACTGACTTCACTACTAAAGTACGGTGATAACAAGAGATTTGATGTACCGCCATCTACCCAAAATCCTAGTAAGTTTATTTTTTGCAAGGGAATGTGTGTTTTTCCAATATAAATATGGTATGTAATTTTCTAAATATTCCTCTGTTACAGACTTTAATACACAAGATTTTCATACACAAGATCCTATATGTAAGGTTTCATCGCCAGTTAATGCCAAACCGATCAAAAACAAAGTAAAAGCTTCGAGGACTAAATCTCCAATCAAAAAAGATGGCGATATCAGGGCATTGTTTAGTACGACTACCAAATCTACTAAAGATTATACGAAGCTATTAAACGACTTAGGGATAAATAACGATGGTAGTTTACCTACAAGCCTAATTAATCTCCTTGTTGATCTCAAATTAGAAGTCTCAAATGTTGCTAAGAAATGTTACATTTGTTCAAATATATGTGACTGCAAATTTATTGCTAGTAAGAAAAACGTCGAATTTAAACCAGTATTGTCACTTTCTAACGCATTAAATTTACCAGACATAGATATCATAGATGATATAAACTTTAGCTCTATTTTGAAATGCTCTAAAGCAGTTACAAACGAAAAAATGGAAATGAATTATTCGGTCGATAACAACGAACATAATCGAAGTACAAATTTTAATCTAGAATTCGATTTTGATTTATCCAATTCACCTGAGAAAGAAATTGCCACTGAACCAAAAGAAAATAAAGAAACCAATTTTGATATTGGAAACCTTGATGATATATTTGAGAACAGCAGTCCTGAGGAACCAAAGGATTCTGTGAATAGTAAGCAAAACGATGATCCCAAAGAAACACTAGGGTTCTTTGGTTTAGACAGTATTGATGATATATTTGCTGATTCCGATGAAGACCTTAATCATAAAAATGATAATAATCCTATAATGGACCATGCTGTCCAAAATAGAAATGATAAAATTGAAATAGAGTCTGATGATGATTTAATTATTTGTGATAAGTACATAGACATCCAAGCAAACACACCTTTGAGGAAAAGTCCATCAATTCTTTCCGGTCAAATAAAAGAAAATATTCTTACCTCTCCAATATTATGCAGCCAATCTCGAAAGTTTGTCCTTAGTACTAAGAAAAGTAAGTTGAAAAGTTCAACACCAATAAGTACAGTTAGAAAGAAATTAATGTCGGAACCGGACATTCATGTAGGTAGTGAAAAAACGTTACTTACAGAAGTGAGTAAGACTAAACAATATTTCACGGAAAATATGTTAGAAACAAGTGTTAATAAGAGTATGTTTACAATTACCCAGTTGGTCGAGATGATTAATAAAAGCGAAAATAGTATTTCAGCTAATAAATCTCAGTATAATAACAATGACAGAAGTGTGTCGCCAATCCTTTTGACGCAAGCCGATCGAAAATCCTTAAGTCGTGCTTCAAACACCAAAAAACCTAATAAATCGATATCAAAATCCGAAAGTCTTATAATTCTTGAGACAGATAGCGAGTCTGATGAGCAAACACAAGAGTACGATACGGAAAATATTAATAAGTCTACAAATAATGTGGCAAATGTGAAACCACATAACACGATAGAAAAATTAGATATTCATAAAAATACAAGTTCTTTTAACAACGATAAAAAAGAGGCTAACATATCAAATAAAACATCACCTACAGACATACATCATACACCTAACGACAGTCCTAAAACGTCTAAACGGAAGTTCAACGATGATGACGAGATAGTCTCATCGCCATATTTCAATAAAAAATCAAAAATAGAGGAACAGAACACAAAATCGTTATCGTTACGAGAAAAAGTTTTAGCAGCCCTATCATCAAACAAATTGAATTTGAATTCAGAGATAGATAAAAGTGTCAATTTTGTATTGCACTCTTCGCAGTTCTTATCACAAAAAGAAAATAAAAGTCCAAACTCCCCAGCCTCGCCTTTTCAAGATAGATATGACGACAATATTCATAAGATAAAGAGCTCCCTTCAAATGTTTCGCAGAGATAGTTCCGTTATTTCTCGAAAAATTGATTTTGTTTCCAGTCCTAAATGTAATTCAGTGACCAATGGCTGGTCTGAAGACAGCGACGACGATTTTGTTAGCACGAAGCATGGTAAAAGTCAAAAGGTTCAGCGCAAGAATGCATTCAATTATAAGGCACCTAATTATAAAATTAGAAAGGTATGCGGCTTATTCTGTATAATATATCCTTTTGGAGCAAACAGGTTAATAACGTTATCGTTATATTTCCTCAGAAAAAGAAAAAACCGAATCAATTCTTGGACTTGGAGGCAGAGCTTTCTTCGGACGCAGAAAGTGGCGATGAGTTAAGTGATAATGACAGCGTAGGATCACTAGCTGAGTTTATTGACGACGATGCTAACACACCTGTAGAGTCAGATATGCAAGCACACTATTTACAGTCTGTCAAGTAAGTATATATTTTACTGATATGGCCCGATTTTTCAATAATACTGATAACAATATTGATTAAAGTTAACTGATCGTTAAATATTATATAAAAACTAATATAATTATATTTTCAGAAGCCCAGTGAATGGAATATTTAAAATTCCACAGCTACCAAAGAAACATAATAATGAAGATATTCTGTCACAATTTGTTGAAGAAGATAATTATGAAATGGTATACATGGAATACTATATATACACTGTATGGTTAGTAATTAACAATGAACCAATTAAAATATAACCTGATGTTTTTCCAGGATAGTTTTTGCGTCGACTCTCACATTGGTCTGACTCAAGTGAATGATGTGTCAGAGTTGGAGGTGGCAGAAATGATTTTAGAAGAAAAAAGGCGAAAGAGAAAAATTAAACACAATGACAGCGAGTTAAATACCGCAGATAGTCCAATAGTTAGGAGACGGAAGAAATGCAAAAGGCAAATAAACAGCGATTCGGATGGTAGTAATTAATTTCTTATTGAGATGTCGTGCTAAAGAGTGGCAATACTGGGCTGAAACGTAACCCAGTATTGTCAACGTCCGACATTCCGCCAAATAGGAGATTTTGTGCCACTAAGAGGTCACCAGTTGATTTCCAAAACATGCTTGATCAATATAAGTTGAAATGTTTGTTATTTAAAAGATAACCTGAAACCCCTGTTGTAAATTGTTATTCTGTCATCCAGTATTAGACAAATTGTAAATATTGATAGGTCAATTGCGTTGTATTTTCTAAACATTTTCTTATATTTATAAATTATAATGAAATATCCAACTGGCTTGGTTATTGTATCTCTGTGATAGTATTATATAATAAATTAACGATTGGAGAAATAAAGAGATTACATATATATCTTCGTTTTCATTTATGTATTTAAAAACAGCTTAAATTAATTTATTCTTAACTGATTACTCCGTCTTATTTTCGACGACGACCTGTTTTTTCTTATGTATTTCTTCTAGGTCAGCTTGAAGTTCTGAATATCGTTTTTGCAACTGTTTCTCTCGTTCTGTCTGACGATTTACATCTTCGGTTAACGACTGAAAAGTATAAAAATATTTGTGATACATGGTTCAAAGAAGGCGGATAATATAGTTGACCAAAATAAACACAATAATGTATATAGTATATTGAAAAATGTAAAATATATCTAGTGTGTTAACATTACTTATAGAGAATGATAATAATGATACCTCTATTCTTCTGGGTATAGCGGCCCTTTCCTGTTCAGCAAGGAATTTAAAAGTGGAGAGCTCAAGGTTGGCTTGTTCAATTTGGTCTTGAAGCTCTTGGAATTGCTTGACTAGTGACGCAGTACGACTTTGATAACCGCCTAAAGGGAAAACAAACAATTTCAAATAACAAAATAAAATGTAGTACAATAAGGTACTTAGATATAAGACACTTGCAAAATGTTCCGCTAAAACTCCACTTTACAAGTCTTATATCTCGTATCTGTCGTAAGGATTTGATTGTAAATATAATAGTTACCAGTCAAAACTCTAAGTTTCTTTTCCATTTTTGAGCACTTCTTCGCCTCCTTAGCCATATGAGCGCGGTTCTGCTCTAGTCTCTTCTCTGCTGATTCGAGGCGGTCCTTCTTACTTGCTAAGTTAGCTCTAGTGTATCGATTTTGTCCTGGCAGAAATAGAACCTGTAAGTATTGAAAGCAGATTACATAAGTTGGCTTATTCTTGACGTTATGGCAGGCTTAGGTGCGTTGAGCCTGAATTTTCACAGAAGTAAACTGTACAAAAACCTTAGAACAAAAATATGGCATTAAAGTTCAAAGAATGATAAAAAATTACCTGCGCCAAGCACTCTTCCCAAACTTGTGTATAGGCATCCATGCTAAGATCTCCATGCCCCATGCCAGCCTTTACGACATCCATCTCTTTATCAAGCAAGTTTCGGGCCTGCTGCAACTCATCAGCCGTGAACTCCTCGTATGGATGCTGTTCTAGATACGCCAAGTGAGAGGCTTGTTGCTGCACTGACCATTTCTTATCGCCTGTTGTTAAAAAATAACTGTATTCAGGTGCGGGATAGATTTTGACTGGGGGTGGTTTTGACTAATATTTCATTTATATGTGGTATTGTAGTAGTAGTTGTTATATCGAAAGGTGACTTATAGCTGAAGTATATAAATTTATAAGTGTATAAAATAAAGCTACTTTCTAGACTCACTTGGTACTGGTACATTGGGGTCATGCAACGCATCATAATGAAGCATAGTCAGCATTTCAGCTTTCAGCAGCTCTTCAGCACGCTGTAGTGTGGTCAGCGGACCAGCACCACGCGCGCCCATGGGCGACACCTGCGAGGGACGGACGCAGCCGCGTCTGATAGCTGCACTGCGCAAAGCTAGCGCAGCTTGACCTGATAATTATATCAGTATTTCAATATATTTTAGACAACTATATTATGGTATAATTTAAAGCATTTACTTTTATTTTAATCAATTATTATTATCGGTCAGTGTTTTTATTATTCAATTTCAAGATTTACACTAGTCAACCCTGACAAACACAGATGTCTGAAAAAAAATACCTCAATGCTTTATTCCATTGATAAATCATTTTATTAATTCTCCTGTATCTGTGAAGATATACCTATAAATATAACCCTACAGGCCATAAGAGTTAAATGCTGGTAATTAGAAATTAAATGATGAAATTACTTAGTAATTAAATATATAAAAAAATGTCATCTTACGTTTTTCCTCTTGTTCTTTAGCGAACCTGGCGTCAGCGTCTGCTTGATCTTCGACCCCCATGTCATTTGACATGTCCGACTGATCTTCATTGTCTTGATCGGGCACCACAATTTCATAATCGTTCCTGGGTGTCGGCAGCGAAAGAAGCGCGTTGCGTACAGTTGATTTTAACTAGAAACAAAAAATAAACCATGCATGATAGAGAAGTTAATATCTTTCAGGAAAGGTCTTTAAAACCATATAAATGATTATGGGACAAAGCATTAATTTAAAACTATTTTTGCCCTCAATTTAGGAATCAAATAAACTAATAAATAATTAAATTCGTAACTATCCCAGTGGGTACAGTATTATAAAACATACTTGTTTTTGTATCTGCCTATTTTCGGCTGGAGTGTCACCAGCACTTACACCATCATCGGGGTTTATGCTCAGTTTGTCTCTTAAGCCTGGAGTCTGGAAGTAAACAATGTTATTTTGAATATTTATTTAATATGTCCCATTAAAAAGCTAATTCTACACAAATAATCAATCACATTTCAAATGTTTGAGTAAATGATATATGTATAAATCAAACCATTAATCCAGGTTGTGTCTGATTATGTCCAGGTGTCGCGAAGCTGCCAGGGGTCGAGACTTCACTGCGTGATGACCTAAAATATAATAATTATAACAAACAGACAAGCAAGACAAATATGTGGATTTGCTAGCGACTTAACCTATATCCAGCATGAAAATCATTACACTTATAAAGAGTAAATAACAATAATGTGGTCAATATACCTGAAGGGAGTTGCCAGAACTGTGTTCGGTGTAGCTAGTGCTTGTGATTGAGGCAGTGCTCCTGAGAAGTCAGACTCATGAAGAGGAGTATTCAGCCCTCCTTTTAAAGGTGTGTCCACATGGGTTAATGCCATGACGTTCTGAGCTTCCATCAGGATTCTGTAGGCATATTTATGCATTATTTATAAGCATATTTGCAATTATATTTAGAAACATTATTACACAATTTAACAAAGTGCCAACATATCAATATTTATATAAAAAATATCTTATTAAAATTTGTGGATTTTTAATAAAATTTATTTCATGTATAGTTAGCTTGTAGGTTCAAGTACTTCGAAATAACAGCATCATATCTCCTGTGTGTGAAGTAAAGTTTACTAGAAATCCTTTATTAAACATATATATGTAAACGAAATATTTTCCTTTCATTAATTTTGCTTTAAAAAGTACATTTACAAATATTAAGAGGCAATAGACCACAGCCCATTTTTGCATGGCAATACACTGTAAGTTTGTTTATCTAGAAAACGAAATGGTTATTTTAGTGTTGTAGAATTTTAGGTTATTTTCTGAAAGTGGCTAACAATTACGAGCGAATACCTGTCATGCTGAGCAGTAGGTGTGCGCAGCGCAGTGGCTGGGGCAGGCGTAAGAGCATAATGAGCCAAAAGCGCATCAGTAGGTGCACCAGCCCCACCAGCAGATTCACGGGCCACTTCCGAAGCACGACCAAGTTTCACCACTTGTTGCAACTCCTAAACCATACAAAAGATTAGCTCTATTTATGAGTTAATTTGGCATTCATGAACGCATTGAAAAACGTTGCAAACTATTAAATTAATATTCAACATATTCCAAAAAATATTGAAATTATTACAAATGAAATTGGCCAACCTGATCAGTAACTTGTGGTTCTGGCAACACCAGTTTGCTCCTCTTTCGCGCGGGCTGGTCACCTTGTAACATTGCTTGGGGTACATCATTCTCTTTACGCTGCTTCAATTTATTCTTATCCTTACGGCGATCGCGCTAAAAACAATACATAAATTGAGATAACGGCGATGCGTGCAAAACACCATCAATGCTCGGCATATTCAAGTTTTGGAGTGCTGTTGACTGAATTGTATATTTTTAGTGATTTGCCTTAGTACATAACTTAATTAACATAACTTTTAGATGTATAATGTCTCACATTATACATCTAAAAGTTATGTTAATTTAAAAAAATATTAATAACAATTATTTTCTAACTTACTTCTTCCTTCTCTGAGTGTAGTTCTCCATCTAAATGTTGCTGCCTAAGCCTTGAAAAGTCAGGTGCCATTGGGTCCACCACTTCCTCAGAGGTGTCATAGAAACCAGCAGCTGGTCTCTTCTCAAATGGAATTTCAGAGTTGTAGTTAACGCCACGCTTTTTCTTACGTCTAAATAAAATAAAATATGTAGGACTCAATTTTTTGTTAGTGAGATATTGAACAATTTTATGCATTTCATTAACATTACCTCATCGGAACAGAAATGCCAGCTGCACTTAATTCTCTTCGCTTCTGCAAGGCAGCAAGCCTACGAGCTTCTTCTAATTGCTTTTCTCGAGCCTTCCTCTTTGCCTTCTTACCTTGTGTGTTGGCCAAACGTGCACGAGCTTCAGAGAGCATCTCCAATTCTTAAAAAGAATACAATTTATCTTGCAGACTAATTCTATTAAATACATTTTAATATTAAATGGTAATAGGTATGGTATCTAGTATAAGGTAGTATGGTTAAGTATGGTTGTACAGGGTAGTTACTATATGTGATTGTGTTTGTTTGTTATACATATATGTCAACAGGAACTAAAAAGCTCATAGTTTTACCATCTTCATCCATATCTTTTGGATCAGGTCTTGCTGGCTTGGTTTCTGGATTAGGATCAATCTCACCAGGCTTCAGTTTACGGGGATCATCTCCCATATCTTCACCTTCTTCTTTCTTCTGAGCTTGGTCCCTTAAATTAAATTCAGACGTTACAAATTCAAATTAAAATAAGAACCATTCTAAAATAGAACCGTGCATGTAAGCACCAGCAATACTTAAGTAATAACTTAATTTATTATATTTTTCATTGAATTATAAAATTAATAAGTAGTGAATTCATAATAACTTACAGTAAGTATTCATATCGCTCTAAACACTGAGCTGCTGTACGTCCAATGATCGGTGCTATTGTCCTCCATTGAGTTGGCATCAACTTGGCGAGGTGTAGTAGCTTCTCGTCCTCCTCTCGAGACCACTCAGTCTTCTTGATACTAGGATCCAACCATTCATACCAACGAGCTTTGCACTGCTTAGCCGACTTACGATGAAGTAAAGAAGCGATTCGGGACCACTGATTTTTCCCATATTTCATCACCGCCGCTTTAAGAATTTCATCCTAGAAAGAAATAATTAATATTATTGGTTACTAAGAATTAAGTTAGATTAATACTTATAAAACCTCAAGGTATATTTACCTCAGTATTCCGCCAAACGCCGCCTTTTATCATTATTCGTGGCATGGTAACGGTGGTCCTGGCAGGCGATTTTAAACTATTTACCGACTAGTTATATGTACTGTGTGTAATATAAGAAATAACTTTTCTTTAAATTTATAAATTTATTCACATTTTCTTACAAGCAAAACATTAAGATATTGCATAGAATAAATTGAGAATGAAGCTCGACAGTCACAAACAGGTCACAGATTAACTATAAATGTAAAAGATTTTGTCATGGACACGGAGAACTTCGTGTATAACATATCTGTGGAGAAGTCGTTATTAGTATGTTGACTGTTGATCTCTGTATCTCTGTAGCATTGGTCGCTACTTTAGAACACAGATTCATAATATTATAAATACAGCAATAAAGTTTTCTTTGAGGGAGATACAGGACACTCCCTTTTCCTGTTGTTTTTACGAAAAGTGTTTTATTCGATCACGGTTTATCGTGGCTTGATTCTTTTATAACGAATGTGACTTCTTACATGACGATGGAACTTTAATTGAAAATCAATACTAGCGATTCTCCAGGTAAGCTTCCTGCAAATGGAAACGGTTCATAGTACAGTAATAATTACTTCCGTTGTGGTTCTTTATTATAATTTATGCTACTTTGCGTTATTTATTTACTATCAATTTGAAACAAGATGTATTTTAGATATTTAACACTTGTTTCAGAATGTCTACCATGTCAAGATCAGTCCACATAAGCCAGCAAAAGCTGGCTGAAAAGCTTATAATACTCAACGATCGTGGAATTGGCATGCTCACCAGAATATATAATATCAAAAAAGCATGTGGTGATACTAAATCTAAACCAGCATTTCTGTCAGACAAAACATTGGAATCCTCCATAAAACACATTGTGAGGAGATTTCCCAATATTGATGTCAAAGGGCTCCAACCCATAACAAACATAAGGAATGAAATTATCAAGTCATTATCTCTCTATTATTATACATTTGTGGATTTACTTGACTTTAAAGATAATGTATGTGAACTCTTGAATATCATGGACGCTTGTCAAGTCACTTTAGATTTGACGTTGAATTTTGAGCTGACAAAAAATTATCTAGATTTAGTTACTACCTATGTGTCTCTTATGATATTGTTGTCCAGAGTAGAAGATCGCAAAGCGGTTCTGGGTTTGTTCAATGCAGCCCATGAGATGGTACACAACCAGATTGATCCAAGCTTTCCTAGATTAGGTCAACTGATTGTAGATTATGATGTTCCATTGAAGAAGTTATCCGAAGAATTTTTGATTCACCAAAAAGTGCTCTCTAGTGCATTAAATTCTTTGTGGCATGTTTATCCCGCCCGAAATCTTACAGCTGAACATTGGAGGTCAGAACAAAAGTTGAGTTTAGTAAGTAACCCAGCCTTACTTTTAAAACCATCAGAAACAAATACAATGTCCTGTGAATATGTTTCTCTTGAATCATTAGAGAGATGGGTTATTTTTGGTTTTGCAATGTGCCACCAAATGCTTCAACAAGACCATGCAAATAAAATGTGGGTCAGTGCTCTGGAGTCAGGATGGGTGGTTGCATTGTTCAGAGATGAAGTTATATACATTCATTCTTATATTCAAAGCTTCTTTGATGGCATTAAAGGATATGGAAAACGAATATCAGAAGTTAAAGACTGCTATCATCATTCTGTTCAGAAAGCTGGTTATAAGCACAGAGAAAGAAGGAAATTTTTAAGAACAGCTTTAAAAGAACTTGGTCTAATTTTGACTGACCAACCTGGATTGCTAGGTCCAAAGGCATTGCTGATATTTATAGGCCTTTGCTATGCTAGAGATGAAGTATTTTGGCTATTACGACATAATGATAATCCTCCACAAAAGGTAAAAGGAAAATCTACAGAAGACCTTGTGGATCGTCAACTGCCTGAATTGTTGTTCCACATGGAAGAGCTCAGAGCTTTAGTTCGCAAGTACAGTCAGGTTATGCAGAGATATTATGTTCAGTATTTATCTGGCTTTGATGCTGTTGCATTAAATTTAATGATACAAAATTTACAAGTTTGCCCAGAAGATGAAAGTATAATTTTATCTTCACTGTGCAATACTGCTGCCAACTTAAGTGTTAAGCAAGTAGAGAGCAATGAATTATTTGATTTCCGTGCATTCCGCTTGGATTGGTTCAGACTACAAGCATACACTTCTGTAGCTAAAGCACCATTCAGTCTTGTAGATCAAAGAGAATTATCTCAATTTATTGACAAAATGGTCTTCCACACCAAAATGGTCGATAACTTAGATGAAATAATGGTGGAGACATCTGATCTATCTCTATTTTGCTTTTACAGTAAAATTTTTGAGAGTCAATTTCACATGTGTCTTGAATTTCCTGCACAAAACCGTTACATTATTGCATTTCCACTTATTTGTAGTCATTTCCAAAATTGCACCCATGAATTATGCCCTGAAGAAAGACACCATATTAGAGAAAGAAGTTTGTCTGTTGTAAACATTTATCTGGATGAAATGGCTAAAGAGGCCAAAAATATAATCACTACAATCTGTGATGAACAGTGTACAATGAGTGATAAACTTTTACCAAAGCATTGTGCCCAAACAATTGCTCATCTTGCCAATCGCAAAAAGAAAGATAAAAACAAAAAGAACCACATTGAGATTGTAAAACCAGGTGCAGAGAGTTACAGAAAGACAAGAGAGGAATTAACCACAATGGATAAGTTGCATATGGCACTAACTGAACTTTGCTTTGCTATCAATTACTGTTCAACTGTAAATGTTTGGGAATATACTTTTGCCCCTCGCGAGTATTTGCATCAACATCTGGAAACAAGATTCTCTAAAGCATTAGTGGGGATGGTAATGTTCAATCAAGACACAAGCGAAATTGCTAAACCATCAGAATTGCTCGTCAGTGTGAGAGCATACATGAATGTCCTTCAAACCGTTGAAAATTATGTTCACATTGACATAACGCGCGTTTTTAATAACTGTCTTCTGCAGCAGACTCAAAACATGGACAGTCACGGTGAAAAATCAATTGCATCACTTTACACACAATGGTATTCAGAAATATTACTACGGCGTGTAAGTGCGGGTAGCATCTGCTTCTCAATGAACCAAAAGGCTTTTGTGAGTCTCTCAGCTGAAGGCGCTATCCCATTTAATGCTGAAGAATATTCTGACATTAATGAGTTAAGAGCTTTGGCAGAATTGATAGGCCCTTACGGCATGAAACTATTAAGCGAAACTCTCATGTGGCACATCGCGAGTCAGGTTCAGGAATTGAAAAAACTTGTTGTACAAAACAAAGAAGTTCTCCAGATGCTTAGAACCAACTTTGACAAACCAGAAATAATGCGCGAACAATTTAAAAGACTGCAGCAAGTTGACAATGTTTTACAGAGAATGACAATCATAGGCGTCATTTTGAGCTTCCGACAAGTAGCACAAGAGTCCTTACTAGACGTTCTAGAGAGGCGAATTCCATTCCTAATTAGTTCTATTAAAGACTTCCAACAGCAATTGCCGAGTGGGGATCCTATGCGTGTCATTTCAGAAATGTGCTCTGCGGCTGGCCTACCGTGCAAAGTAGATCCAACGTTAGCCTCCACACTGAGGCAGCACAAGGCTGAGGTAGAAGAGGAGGAACATCTGATAGTTTGTTTATTGATGGTGTTCGTCGCCGTATCTTTACCGAGACTCGCCAGAAACGAGGGGTCGTTTTATCGTCCATCTCTAGAAGGACACGCGAACAATATTCATTGTATGGCCCCTGCCATTAATCACATTTTTGGTGCTCTGTTCACTATATGTGGCCAAGGTGACATCGAAGACAGAATGAAAGAGTTCTTGGCTCTTGCATCATCTTCCTTGTTGCGGCTCGGCCAAGAAACAGATAAAGAAGCGATCAGAAATCGCGAGTCCGTCTATTTACTTCTCGATCTAATCGTCCAGGAATCGCCGTTCCTCACAATGGATCTACTAGAGTCGTGCTTCCCTTATGTTTTGATACGTAATGCTTACCACGAAGTTTACAAACAGGAACAAATGCTATTGCATTCTTAGTTTCTCCTGGCTAGAGAATTATTCGAACGTATCCATAAGTATCGGAAAAGCATTTTTATATGTAGTTATGATAGATTTATATTTGTTTATTTACGCACTGAGTGTAAGGAAGTATCCTGATAGTTCTAGAATTCAATTTCACTTGACCTATTCTAGCAAACAAATATTCACAATACATATTTTCATTCTGTAGGCTTTAAAAGACTGGTTAAGTATTCCTTTTCTTATAGTATGTATGTAATGAACGAAATAATTATTAATTATATGTAAGTTATATTTAAGGCTCTTTGTAGTGACTACAAATTTATTATTTATAAATTAATTTTATATTCGGCTTTTTATACATGTGCTTTATTTAAACATTTTGATATGGTAATATGTCGAATAGGTCTAATATTAGTGTTAAGCAGACATCATGTTAAAGTTTAAAGTTATCAAAGTATGTTAGATCATTTATATTTGTTTTATTTTTGATTATTCGCGAATTTTTATACAGCAACTGTCAACTGAATGGTAAAATAAAATTGTAACAGCAACAACACAATTTGTTTTTGAATTGCTTACAAAAGTAACATATCGACGAGTAAAAATAGCAAACTAAATCCTGACTATAGTCTAGATAGATTCTAGAAAACTAAAGCTTGTTCTTCAAGGTGCTCCTTAAAATATGCTTTCTTAGTGCCATTTATTAAATATCTGATATTCCTAAAACGAGGTATACTCTGCTACTTGTAAAATCAAACAAGACTTCTGTCTCACCATTTTTTCTTTTCCTCCATTTTAAACTAACCTTGCTTCAAATAAAATTGATTAACCTTGACATTAATTACACCCCACACAATGATCTCACAAGTGATGTAATTGTTTGCCCATCTCATCGAAAGACAATATCATTAAACTGAATATGCGCAAATTATTATAGGACGTAACTTAATACATAATATTTAATGAACAGTATAATATTCATAATAAATTGTAAAAGTATTTTTATGTTTTTATTTTCTTCCTCTGCTTTAGCCATCTGAAAATAATAAGTATACAAAAATATGGCGCTAAACCTTGCCCATCATAGTTTTTGAAATTCATGTAACATTTAGACTATCAAGATACAAGTTGATCAAAACACAGGTAAGATCATGTAAAATTTATTGTATTTTTTTGTTATTTTGAAATCACATGTTGTAACATTTATCTCGTTAATTAAAAATATTCACATTGTCTGTTTAAATAATCTATTACGGTAAACTAGCTTACAATTAGGAGAAATAATGCCATTACTACGCGACGGGGCTCAACGCCCGGCATCGCTTACACGATTCAAATTGGTCGAGTCGCTCTACGGATCCACTCAGTTACATACAAATATTATACAATGCTTATAGGAATTACAAGACTGTATTATACCGACATTCTCTAATAAAATGGCATTAACATGGTATACTTATACGTAAGAGAACTATCCTTAGATTAATATAATATAGAAATAATAAAAATACATCATGCTCTTTGGCTTGCACGACGGAGTTATACAAACGAAATATCTAACAGAGATCAATTGAACTGAACTGTACAACAGATCGAGTAAACGCATCAATTTAATACTTGTTATTCATATACACGAGGAAAGCAGAAATGGAATTCAATTTTGAGCTACGAAATCAGGCAAAGACATTTAATTTTGAGCTTACATCTTGAAGCTTCATATCGAAAGATCAGTCTAATAAAATTTGATCATTTGGCATTATGGTTTAAATTTCACATTATATCTAAGAAATTAAATTATAAAAATTACATTTGCCATAGGAAGACTAATCATTGTAATTAACTTTCTACTTGAAAATTCAATTGGGTCAACATTCCAACAACGTTATCGATGGTAGGTACAAGGTACACTTAAATTTGAGCTTCATAAAAAGACAACCCTAACAATCACATCCAATATGGCCGTACTATTCAAAACATATTATCTAACTTGTAAATCGATTACAATTGAGCCCGCGTAAATGATAGCAATATTATTATTTGCTGACACGATGTAATTGAATGTATTGGGCCATCCAAAGTCATACTAGGTAGAAGGATCCCAAATATCACGAAATCTGTGTCAGGAAAAGTATGGATGGCCCCTGACGAGGATAGAACAAAGATTGGATACGAATCCCTACAATGGCACCCATATACTTTCTTCACATCACTACTACGCTTTAAAATAATAATGACATATAAATTACAATTACGGAGATTCCAGTAAAATAACGTATCACTTACATCGTAATAGTCTAATAACAGTACGATTATTTTAGTATTTGCATGATATTTTTACATCGCATTGTATATGTCGCTTATATACAAAAATATACACAAGTCGCGTCGGTTGTTCCGTCGACCGACTGAAACGACACTTTCTATTCCATATACAAAAATAAGAGCTAATTTTGTAGAACACGATGCGGTTTTGTTATTGAGCATAGCGTAGTAATAATTCAGTAATTATTATTTGCTCTGGTGCACAAATTATTCTTGTGTTTGCTGTTGGGGAATTCGGTGTTGAGTAAATATAAACAGATTCTTAATTATGGCGTATTGAACGAGGGAGTTTTGACGAATCTATTTTAAATCCTTGTTTTAATAAACTAATAAAAAGTTAGTTTAATATTTTACAACGCCATAATTAAGAAACAGCTATACGTGATTTGTATTTCTCAAAATTTACGCGCTCGTGAACATCGTGATGGTGGGAATAATGTTACATTAGTGGGAATGAAAATGTGACCTTAAGAAGGCTTCAGTATCACCCGCTACAGACGAAATGATTTACTAAATTGATCATTACAATAATACGTATAATTGTTCGGATATGCAAAAGTTTTAGTCCCATCTCAATTTCCAATTCTGCTTGCTTTGTAAAGTCAATGCAACGGCGACTCGAGGCTTCTTAGTGCCATTTTAGTCAATTGAAGAGAATACTCAGGACTCAGGCCTCGGAACACTGTTCTGGAACTTGCGTCTTATAAAACAATTAATTTCGCAGTTATTTCATCTCACGGTGCAAGCAATTCATTAACTATTATACCTCAATTACGTAAACTTCGCCATAGCGAGCTACCAAAGCCTTCATTTTGCGTCAGATAATATACAAGGTTATGTTATACTATGTATCCAAAAGCATTTAAGTAAACGATATAAAATGCACGATCAAATAAATTGTAGCAGGTTAATGTAACCATAAGAATGTTTATAAATGCGGGTAAAATGGGTGTGTGGCAGTGAAAGATTTTTTTTATTTATATTACTTGTGATGCATAACCGAAGGTATAAATATAATATGTGATGACTATCTTAATACTACACTTTTAGCATGGCTTTTACCGCTGGATTCTATGTCACGGATTAATAAAGAATTATGAGAAGGAGAAATACGTTTTATTCTTTCTCTATGCTGCCAAAGAAGCCATACTCGTATGCCATAATATGTTAACTTATTTCTACTTTTCAGTTATCGATATTTGTATTTTTTTGATAAATGAAACATAATATGCAGCATTAATATTAGTTATGTAACTACATTGTACACCCTGTACAATAGTTAAGACAACAGTTAAGCGTATGAATATGCGTCGAATTAAAATCAATTCCTTATATTAAAATGTTTCTATATTATTGTCTACAAACAGAGGGAAAACGATTGCATATTCAAAAAAGACGACTTTGAAGCCTGTCAATGTCAATGTCTTTACGACAGCTAAAGATTTTTACATAAGAATGCCATAGAACAGCAATAAAACAGTGCTAAAAGTGTAATAGGTACAATACTGATGTTGTGTTCACGTCAGGTGGTGCGGATGCGTGTGTGGCTGCGTGTGCGCATGCAGGTAATAGAGCAGCGGCAAGACGCTGTGTCAGACCTTGTGGGCGGGGCGCATTTCGTACGATTGCGGATACGCTTTTGCGTACGGCTCACGGCGCCCGCTCGGACCTGGCCCGCTTATAGCTGAAATATCAATGGGAATGCTTTATAATTTATCAGAAATTGAATTGAAAATTCTTATTGAAAATTTGATTATGTAACAATAGGTACCTATTCTCTATGGTAATTAACTTAGGTATACCACATAAGGGTTTATCTTCAGTATGCCTAAGATTAGACTTTACCAAAACAGTTTTATGTGTCCAACACATTGGAATCTAGGGCCGCTAAAAGTATAAAAGGGAAAGTCAAAATGGGTCCACAGCACGTTGCTTGCTTGTATATACTTTTGAATTGCATTGGATTTCATCTCCTATCAAGTGAAATGTAGCGTGTTTGTTCTCGCTATATCGTATACGCTTATATAACAAGCTTACCGAGATCCCTCGCCGTGTACGTAAGAGGAGGCGCATAACCTTTATGGTTGCGTGTGCGCCGGTGTCCAGGTCGGGGCGGCTGGGGCCCTGCGCGCCTCGCTTCTCCTCCCGCGCTGTTTCCGCGCATACGGCGTAGTGTGTTCATGGGACGACGTAGTGTTTCCGACAGACGCCTAAACGAAATTATAAATATATTTATAACAAATAGAGCAGAGATAAAATATAATTTGTCGTGGGGTTTATTTCAAAACTACACAAAGCCTAAGGTTGACTAACAGACAATTCAATGCAGAATAAGTACCTGGCCGGCGGTCGCTTCGGATTGGACGATGGTGTGTGTACGGCGCAACACTTAACGAAAGCGCCCATGAGCACCACAAGCAACACACCACCGAGTAATACTGCCCACCACTTTTCTGTGACCCACTCTTGTAGTGTTATTAACGTCTCCTTATTAAGGAGTAAATTCTTGAGACGAACTAAAGGACCTTCAGCGTCAACTGCCCGACACTTCAGGAACACATCACAATAGCCCTGAAAGTTAAAGAATAACAAAAACTTCAAACGAGGAATATACAACAAATATGACATTCGTTTGACTTCTTAATACTTCTTAAATCTCAAATTATTCTATAATATAGAAATTGTTCGGAAGATAGCATTAAATACGTATTTGAAAATACGGCTCAGTGTTCTCAGGAAAAAGTTCTCAGTTGTGTTAAAAAGTTAGAAATAGGTAGAAAGTTAGCGAAAATGCTTAATTTTATAGAAATATATATGTACAACAAACACATCTTATTTATAACACATTGTGATCTAGTTAAAAAGTTGAAAATAAACATCGCCACTATTACTGTACAATTTGTTGGCATAGAGACGTTGTTATAATTCATTATTACGAAAATATTATTACCTGGAAATTGTCACACGGTGAACCAGGGCGTAAACTGATCCCCCCAGGGGGAAGGCCAACTGACTTGGCGAAATCAGCCGTGCTGCGACACGACTCCGGCTCCGGCCCCGTTTGGCAGGCCAGTTGACAGAGCGCTCGACGGTCCACGACTGCCGTCACCCCGTCGCCCATTTTCGTGGGTGACGAGGACAGGAAACACTCCTTCATATTCCACGCGAGGCAGATCGATCCGCTGCATTCGCCCTTTATACATAGTTGGGTTCCTGGAAAAAAGACATTGACACTTATTGAGGCAAACAGTATACTGTTGGTTGGCCGCGAGATCGTATCCCCACACTAGGGCCCTAGTAATTAGAAAGTTATTTTTTGTCTGTAGTTCACGCGACTCAACTACAGGTAAAACACTTTAACGGTTTAAAACGCGACATATATTAAATTAAACTTATCGGGACATAGTTAAAATAATTTTCTACTAAGTTTAACTAAAGAGTCGGGGGGTTGAGATTTTTTTTTTTTTTAAAAAAACTTTTTTTTTTATAGTATTTTCTATCCATCCAAGACAATAAATCAATAGCAGCATAAAGTAGGCATACCTTATAAAGGCTAGTTAATAATATAACCATGCAAGCATACTGACCATTGTTACATTCCGTGTGATCGGGCAGAGCTTGCGGTTCCGGGCAGTCGGCGGACTTCCCAGAGCAGATGGACGCTTGACTGCACTCGGTGGCTTCGCGGCACGTCTGATTTCGGAAGGCCAACACGAATTGACATGTTTGGGCGTGACAGCACGGCCCTTGCGACGGACTACGATGGAAATGTATTAATTATAAAACCAAACATATTGTATGCAAACACACACATACACATCCATTCATATACTTAAACGCACAAACCCCCATATTTAAAATAACTTGCATGTTTAATTTAAGCATATGGAATAATTCCATTACTTGGTTCCCGATCAAAACTAGATTGATGTGAAATTTATTTTACCGGAATAAATACTTTTTCTACTTTTTAAATAATTTCTTATATTTACACTAGCTGACCCGGCAAACGTTGTTTTGCCATGTAAAAAATAATTTATATGGCAAAACAACTAAACATTAGACGATTGATCAGTTTCCGACTGGAGAGGAAAAATGATTAAATGGCTATTAAAAAATAAGGGTTGATCGTAGAAGGGTGAAAATTGAGGATTGTATGTATTTTTGTATGTTGTATCATAAAAAAATAGAAAATAAAAATTTTGTCTAAAAAAAAAATTTTGGGGTGCACTACCCCTAACATTTAGGAGGATGAAAAATAGATGTTGGCCGATTCTCATAGATACCGGATAAGCACAAAAAAATTCATCAAAATCGGTCAAGCCGTTTCGGAGGAGAATGGCAACGAAAACTGTGGCACGAGATTTTTATATATTAGATAATAAGTAATGATTTGCACTCAAATTTCATAATTGATCTACAAAATGCAGTGGTTTAGAAAATATATTATACCTGCACTGGGTGTTGGCGCGTCGCTGACAACCTTTGGCGGATATGTTGCGTTCCAAGTCATACTGGCTCACTTGTCGCGGGTAACAACAGCGATCCTTGCATTCGATTTCATCGTATCCTAGAAACAGTTAGAATTATTTCGGACATTAATATGTTCAAATGGTTACCACATAGCCATTTTTATGCGAATAAATGCAAATTTTACCTATTGTGAGTGTTAAGTAAGAGAATATGAGTAGAAAAACATATCAGGGTGTAAAAGTTTCCCATAATTTCATAAGTTTTATTTTGACATTTAATAAAAACATCGAATTAATAAAAATTTAATATTCGATAACGATTTTTATACAAGGGAAAAATACTGTCTTAGTTTACGCGAGTAGTGCACATTTAAATAAAACAGTTTAAAATGCGATATATTAGTTAAGGGAAAAATATTTCCCTTGAGCGTGAAAGGGTTTCAAAATCTTTCTTTATTTCTGCGTCGTCGACTTCTTAAAATTTCAATTGGACACGGTACAATAACTTACCACAATCACACTCCTCTCCCACTTCTACTATCTTGTTTCCGCAGAAGGCACCAGCGCTTTCCTTGAGACAGTCTCGTTTCCTACCATCTCTCACTGCGTCCAAAACCCCGCTAATGTTGCTAACGGAGCAGGCGGAAAACCTGCTGTTATTCGGTCTGTCCCCAGATGTAGCGGAAGCGAACATTATGTAGTTACCCTGCTGTCCCCCCGGACGACATTCCGATGGGTAGTCGTGCTGTGGAAATATGTAGCTATAATACTCATGCGTTATATAAATAAAAAAAAATATATATATACTTTTGGTAATATGCATATACAAAGTAAAATCAAAACGTTTATTTTGGGTGCATATACGTTAATAATTTAAAAATTACATTATTAAGAATATTTTTAAGGAATCATGTGTCTTGCAATGAAGAATTAAATAAATAAATCTACAGTTTTTAATTTTTAACTATTTTGGCGTTCATAGTTCATATTTTTTATACATGAATAAAAGATATTTGATTTATATTTTGTAAAACATGTCGTACATACAAAGTAATAGAATAATATAATGGCTAAGAAACCCTACTGTACTTAAAATAATTTTCGATTATATATGAATAAAAATATATTTGATAAGATAAGATTTTGTTCAATACGGAAAAAGTGTGTTTCAAATATTTTATATATACTAAAGTTTAATTAAAATTTAGTTTAACACTGCATTCATAAGGCGTTTGTTTAAATATAGATTTTTATCAATAAAATCTTACAGGTGATCCAAAATTGTGTCCAATCTCATGGGCCAAAGTAAGCTGGCTAACTTTAGGCGGAACTCTGCTGTTGTAATTGACAAAGGTGATAATCCCGGTGTTAAGTGATCGCTTGGTGCTCTGGTACAAACCGCCTGTCGTCTCCGTGTAAGTTTTGTACTTCTCGCATATACCGCCAGAGGCACCGCTGGCACTCGCTACCCAAGCCAAACCTGAGATAAAAAAAACCAAATAATTGCCTTGTTTAAATAAAACACTTTAACGGTTTAAAACGCGATATATTAGTAAAACTTCCGTCTCCCCGTGACCATTTGCAAAGCATGCCGAAACGTCGGGCTGAGCCGAGTATTAAAAATCATTTTCAAATAATTTTAACTATATCGTTTTAAACTAAAAAGAGTTTTATTTAAATATGTACTACTCGCGTAAACTATATACAGAATTAATTAATTGCTCATAAATAAAATAATATAAATAAAATTTATATTATTTTATTTATGTGGGTACAGGCAAGGCAGACACGCATGAGATTCACTTGACGAAAGATGAATTGAGTTGTCGACCAATTTTGTCTTTGGATCTTTGGAATTCATTGTGTATGCTTGTAAACTAGTTAAATTGGTCGTTTATGACAGTGGATAGATTTTAGAGCACACAAGAGGACAATATGTTTTTTATTATGAACTAATTCACACTTAATACATACAAATAAAGTAAATACCTAAAGTGCCGCCGGTGAAGTCTCTATATGTGAACATATACGCGAGACAAAAGTCTTCGTGATTTCCTAAGGAGTGAAGGTTCAAGAAATTGGAAACGTCGATGTTTTCCCAGCAGAATTGATTGGTTTCAGTCGCGAACGGGTGCTTCTTGCACGCCGAGTCGTCGTCGATCTGTTGAATTACGTAAATGATTAGCATGACTCTCTGCTGTATCTCGAATACGTATAGATTGAAACCAGTACTAAATGACAATTATTTTCCACTTAATCCTAAAAAACAACAAAAGGTAACGAAGTCATGGTGGACGTGAATTCGTCTATTCAATTTTATTATGATTTTATTTGCAGTTAAGAATATATATTCTCTACTAATATACAAAGTTTGTTTGTTTCGTTGTTTAATCTCAGGAACTACTAGTTCGAATTGAAAAATTCTTTTTGTACTGGTTAGAGCACTTATCGAGAAAGATTATAGGCTATAAAATATTACGCTGCAACTAATGGAATACAGCGAAGAAACAGCAGGGAATGTGGAAAAAACGAGGGAATCCGTTGCGTACGCTTTCAGGGAATCCTTCGTTCGCGCGTCCGACTCGCACTTTGCCGAAAATAAAAGTGGCCTATGTTACTCCCTATTACATCAGCTATCTGTCAGTGGAAGTTCCGTGAAAATCGGTCTTGCCGTTTCCGAGATTAGCCGGAACACACAGACAAAAAAATCTTTAATGTTTTTTTGGTATGTGTACCGTATATACATCCATTTATTTGTATAGATTACGAATTTGAATTAAATAAGTATCCGTAGACAAAACTAAATATTATAGTGACTTAAAATGTACATACATTATTACAAAAAAATAATACACCAGCAATTCTATTCGACTATATCTTATATAGAAGTCATTAAAAATTACGAGGCAGTCCAAAAAGCAGACTGTGGTTAAAGTACATATGAAAAATTATCGATTCTATGCGGTAAATGTTTTAAAATACATTATTCAAGTCATGAATCCTCTCGACGTTGACTAATAAGGAAATATGCGAGCATGAATCATGCATTTCAATAAGTTTTCGTTGGCAATGCCCTTGTACTTGTCATGGTTTACCCAATTTTTATAAAGCTATCGTTGCTTTTAATCACACTGAGTCACTCGTAATTAGTAACGTTTTATAACGAAGTTAATAATCTCTTTGGTGGTTTACCCACTTAAAACTATGTAATTGTTTGAAATTATTAGCATAAATCCTGCTTTACGAGTTTGAAACATTCGATAGCAGTACTGATAATGGAGTCGAGCAGTTTTAATTAGGATATAGGATATTTAAAACGAGAAATAATTACGTTGATAATAATTGACAGCATTCATTGGGTGTTGTCTGTTTAACGGTTTAAAACGTCTTAGTTTGACTTATTTATAAGCATTCCACATATTATTATTAATATAAAATAAATAATAAAAAGTAAAGTGTCATCACGTAAACTGCTGAACAGATTTTCATATCTTGCATGTCTTGTCCCACGTAACGAACTAGACAAACTTAGCAAAAAAAACCAAGTTGACAAATCCATTTTTATATCATCTGTTTCTGTAAACTAAACTAAATTTAGTTTTTAGCGTAAAATATCTACAAAGAAATATTTATTTCATATTAACGATTCAAATTTTCCTAGCTGTTCGTAAGACATGATTTCAAGTTAGCCCGTCGGTGGTAACTTGAACTTAGCATTAACATATGATTAGTCTAAGCTACAGATAACATAACCCTGTTATTGATCTGTCAAGTAATGTAGGGCAGAGCTTGGGTTAACGTGTAATCGCATTTCCTACCGCTTTCTCTGGCTTCATTTATCACGTTTTATGCTCAGCTGGCACAATGAATATCACTTTTCAATGTGATGCACCGCTGTTATTAATAGTGCTCGGCTTTGGGCTCGAGGAGGTCTTAGAATCGATAGTGTGACATACTAAGCATAGTTAGGATTACAATGGAAATTACATACGTGGTCGCTAGAGGCAGAGTAGCCTAACTGCAATTTTATGACTTGACTTATTTATATTTTTCAGTCTAAAAATGTTAATCTACAAGAGTTCAGTGACTGAAAATTGTAAATATAATTCTTAAACGAATAATAGGGCAGATTCGTTTTCGCTTAAGTATTTTTATTTTCCCTCTTATTGAAAATCATTTTTTTTATTAGGCCACTTTGTTTCTAGTAGCCTCATATAATATTTTTGATGTTTTATACGATAGACAAGGATACACTTTTTGGTTGGTGAAGCTATAAAACAATTCAACAAGTTACTAACCTATATATTATGGGGTTCCCCCCCAAAAAAAAAAAAAAAAAAAAAAAAAAAAAATTTTTTTTTTAAAAAAATACCCTTGGGGGGCGGCAAAGAAATTTTAAAAAAACAAGGGTGATGTGTAAAAAAAAGGTCTTATATCCCTACACTTTTAACACTGTTTTTCTATTTCTGTCTTTGGTTTATATATTTTTTACCACAGCTTTATTCGTACCAAGTGTTCAAAATGAAAATATCAATAAAGAGAAAATACCTTTATCCTCTGAACTTCAAATTGTATATTCCTATGTTCGCGTCGACCGTCGAACTTCGTGTCTCTATAAATATAGTTGACAGCAGTGACGTGGTGTGAGATTAACGACAGGATCTCCTCTCGAGTCTTCATGTCAATTTCGTTCTTCTTATTTCTATCGAGGTGCTGTAAGTATTAGAGCAAAATGTAAAACGGTTGAACCATGTTTAAGCCCTTACTAATTCAAGGTAAGTGTTATAAAATAATTATACTTAAGCGATAAGTAATAACCGTTTTTAATAGGTAGGGCATGGAGGATGAGACACATTTCTGTATCCGTTTCACTTAAGAGTAGGTGATATATCCCAGCCTATAGCATATAAGCAAGATGCGCTATCGACTTAATTTGGCTTTGGATATTCGAAAATCCACAGACTGAAAGCGAAACTCGATTAAACTTCACGGCATTTTCAACTATGGACGGTGGTTCGTGCTCCGGGCGGAATTTAGATATTCCCATTTCCTACCACCCATTTAATGTCCAGATTTCCACACGAAGTCGAACATGTTTCAGAAAAATTAGAAACATGTCGAACCCACGACCCGTTGATTATTATATATTACTACCATTAGACCAACGAGCCCGTCAGACTGAGACTACTGTGTTCTGTTTAGAATAAATACGTTTTTGTTCACTTCTGAGCTATGGCTTGGCTTCATAATCACATTAAAGTAAAAATTTCTCCATTTAATGGTTGTCAACTATTTCCTCTTTAGCCTTGTTTCCTGTGTCTCACTTTTCATTATTTGCTAATTGAAGTTTCGATGGCGGTTTAAGAGAACAATTGAACTTAGCTGACGTTAGCGTCGAATAAATCAATAATTCTTTGTCTTGCGTATTATGAAATACAGAAATACAAAAAATAGGACTTAATAACCAATAAAAAAAACCTACTCTTAGGTTTCTTTATTGGCCGTTTGTAATTAATACCATAATTTATAATATAAAAAAAAAATAAAAAAACTGATAATCGGCGTTGATAATATTCTCTGGCTCCCTAGCTCATGTAGTAGTCCTTATTGCATCATTAGCCGCAGTCTTATGTTCGAAGTGCCCGGGGTGTGATAATAATCATATCAAGTTGCTTGAAAATAACATTTTTTCAGTAAAACAAAAACAGGACCGTATGTCCCATACCACAATACGATGTATAAATCGAATATAAGCCAGCAACAAACATCATTACTTACGTTTTGGGTATGCTTTGCTAAGGTTTCCCCTTTAATTTATCAATCGAATTGCCTAAAAGAGAACGCTGATAGGGATAAGCCCGCAAATTGAACGCTTAAATAATCCTATTTATAATGTGTTTTTGTTAAATAAATAATGATTTAAATAAAGAGGGTAGCGAGTTTAAAACGCAATAGTATATTAATTAAGCTTAGCTAATATATTGCGCATTTTAAACCTTTTACTGCAGACAGTATTGATGTAATGATTGTATTTTTGGTATGAAGACAGTACTTACGTCAGGAAAGCCTTCTCTAACATGCTTCCATATTAGCGGGTCAGTCTGTATGTAGAGCGAGCAGGTATTCTTCACTTTGGACTCGGTGGCTCGCTTCGATCTGGCATGTTCTCCAGCGTTCGCCGCTCGCGAGTATTTATTGTGATGATGCTCCCAGTGTCTGTAACAACGTACATTGATAAAATGTATTTAGAAAAAAAAAACATTTTTACACGATAGCATTACATTAAAGGATTGAAGAAATTTGAAGACTATCGAGACGCGACAGCTCAATTATTTAAAGCAGCGGCACGGATTGCTGTGGACGCCGGTTCAAGTCCTGTCCGTGTGATCGATTTTTTTTTAATACTGTCTAAAATTTACGCGAGTTTTATTGGTAAACATTTAGGTCAGATTAGTAAACATAAACAAAACAGCTTTCCAATGTTTAAATTGCAATAGATTGGTAAACTTGTTTCGAAAGTTGGTAAAAACTTCGGCCCCCTAACGAGGATTGGCAGCCGTGGTTACAATACATTTAATTATGGTTTAAATTAGTCAAATTAGTAGTATGAGTAGTATGTATTTAATTATGGTTTCCAAATTAGTCAAAGTTTTAGTAGTATCAGTCGAGTATGTGCCGAATTCTGCAAATTATGAGTTTAAATCAGTTTCAAAAGTTTAATAATATACGCTTTTTAAACCTTTTTAACGTGCTTATTTAAATGTGTACTACTCGCGTAAATTCTAGACTGTATTTAGCATAGCAATAGTTAAACAATCATTATAACAATAAATATTATTATACATTTTCGATTATTCCTACGAACATAATATATAAAATTGGACACACCTGCTCTCTAATTGTGGCTATTCCCATATCGAGATTATATTTAATTATAATGATCAAGTATTATTACATAATGGCTTAGTTGTGCGGCAATACATATGCTATAGACTTATATCTAAATATGTAGTAATGGTTGAAATTGAATGCGTCTGTAGTTTAATAGCTTAATTTGTTGCCCACGAGTGGTCCAGGTTTGGAATCCCGGGCAAAAACTAAATTGTTTCAGGCAGTAATAGATCAGTGAAACAGACACAGAACATGGAAGGAAATATTTTTTACAAAATTTTCATATTATATTTATACTTATAGATTTGCTTTTTTAAATTCAGATTTAACCTTCGCAAAATTACCAACGTTAAAATTCATAGACGTGTTTTAATATTCATTGAATATCTTCGAACCGTATTACCATGAGAAATATTTGATTATATTTCTACCAGCGAATACATTTTCTTCTTTCTTTGAACTACAAGGTTTCCTGCCTGTGCCTTGTGCCCTATTACTTATTATACACACGACTGATCAAGTAGGCACTATATCAAAGAGCCTAGTTATAGCGGAAATTCATTGCTGCATAAAAGTTAACAAACCAAATGATTAAGAATATACCGAGAAGTGATACGAGTTGTTTGTGTTGAGATAAGGGAATGTGTAATAAGCTGATTTTAGTTACTTCCACATCGCAGCTGAGATTCCCTAAATAAACGGAAAACATTTAATTAATGCTCAAAGTCGCCTCATCATAATTGTAAGAGAATGTATTCGAGATATGCCAAAATATGGACTTTCACGAATATTTTCACCATTACATGAATATATGTAATTTAAAGCCAGTACACAACTAATTTTATTAACTTTGACGGGTCTAACGGTAGCAATGTATGGCTTATAATCGTGGTCGTAGGGTTCGATTCCCATCAGGTCAACATGTTTCTAATTTTTGAATTTATAATTTTTTTCTGAAACATCCTGGATTTCGTCTAGAAACTTGGATATTAAATGAGTGGTAGGAATATAGCATCCGCGGGTCACGAACCACCGTCCACAGATGAAAAAGCCGTGAAGCTTAATCGCGTTTTAGTTTCAGTTTGTGGATTTCCGAATATCCAAAGCCAAAATAGGTCGACAGCGCATTTTGTTTAGATGCTATAGACTGGGGTATATCACCTACCAAGTGAACATGAAAAAAAAAACTCCCCTAAGATAGATAAAAAAATCCAAACTTTTATTTCACAGTTCGAGAAAGTAGTTGGACGTAAAGGTAAGTTGCAGTACCTGGGCGGATCGTCTCTCAGACTGTTAGGGTGTGATGGCACCGGTGACGAGGGGTGATGGTGCATGTGCGTGCTAGACGAAGAGGGAGGCGGCGACGCGGGGGGGTCGTCGTCCACTCCAGAGTTTTGGATGCGCTCCATCCATTGGACCACTTCGTCGGTTACTCCGCAACCTCCAACGTGACCTGTAAAGAATCCATTAATAAATACTGAGATTAGACAAATTAATCTACATAATTCGTCTGCTATATACCATAAAATAACTGTTTTAAAAACTTTCGTGTCGCAGTGTATCAATAATTTTCTACATTATATCCAAAATCACAGGCTAATGTTATTTTTATTACTATTTACAAAAGTAATTTAGCATGTCAGTAGGCTTGGTAAGATTAATTAAAATACTGTTTGTAGTTTACGCGAGTACTACACGTTCAAATAAAACACTTTAACGGTTTAAAAAGCGATATATATTAGTTAAACTTTTTTGAAAACAATTTAAATTACAGCAGGGCGTTTCGGATGCTTTGCAGCAGCCTTGGTAATTAGATCTTAAGGTGAGACAGTCTCCCCGTGAGAATTAATAAACGTAATGTAATGTAAAAAATTAAACTGGATTTATTTTAATCAGTCCACGTTTGGCTATAGCAATTATTTAGCGAGTCTCAAAACAAAACTAGACGCGTACGACGAATCAATTATTAAAAGCCTCTGTCTGGATTTTTAATTAGCCAGCTTATTACAAAGCGAGAACGAGGCGAATATTTTACTATTACTTTTGCTTAAGTCTTTGCTGTCGAGCATTATTTCCCCGTGGGACTGAGCGAAGTATATTTCGCTACATTATTTTTACGCTAGAATCCGAGATGAGATACTCTGCTAAGTAAAAGCGTATAAATATTCTCCCTCATCCCCTTTGCACCAGAGCTTTCTTGGTATTATCGGGGACACTTTAAAGACGGTATGAGAATCGATAGCATGTTTCTCTTGTCTAGCACGTGAGCCAAGTTTTTCTACAATACGCGGCGATTTACATTTCTGTCTAGACTCCAGACATATTTGATGCACGGATATCAAAGATTTGCCAATTTCATCTTCGTGTTTAATGCATTAAATTTTAAAACTAAGAATAAGGGGACTCAAAACTAAATAACGGAAATGTCACAACTATCGGTACCTACATTATATATAGGTATGTAGTAGTAGGTATGTGTTAGTAGTAACTAACAGTTATAAATTATTAATATTGATTTAAGTATGTAAGACTTTAAAAGAAACGAGCAGAGAGATATTCTTTGTTAGAACATTTATCGAGGAAGGCTAGCCCTGTGTCTAATACAAGAGAAGATATTCATCATTATCAGTTTCCGAGGCGTCCGCTGCAAAAAACGGTTTAACATATCCAAAAAATGTGTTTGAAAAATGATTCCTGTTTAAATTATCTAAAAAAAAGTCCACGACGCATGTATATATTGTCAGATTAACTGGCATAAACGGATATGGAGATGCAAACTTAGATGTTCAAAATAACTATTCTACGCGGACGAAGTCGCTGACACAGCTAGTATGCAATAATTCTATTTTCCTCAATACACGGGCAACATACGAGTGAAGAGCACAAAACTATAATGTGTAAGTCGGCTCAAAGTTTCGGATTTACCCGATGTAGCTGAAACACGAACCACTATCTGCACGTTTCCTGTCATGATTAATGGGGACTTAAAAATTGTTTCGAAACAAGCGGAAATCTAATAATACCCGGCCTGCATAAGTCAATCTATTGTAAGCTAAATATAGTCCCTGCTCGTTCGGGATAGTGAAAGTTGGTGCAACGAGGGAAAGGCCCGGCTGTTGTATAATAGAATCGCTTTGGAGATAGCGAAAGTCCTATATAGACATAGGTTAAATTGAAAGATAAGCGCGTTTACTAAGATATGCAGAGTCGAAGAGGGCGCAGCTGTGCTTGACGTCTCAAGTCATTGGATTACATTCTACGCAAAGCAATAAACCTTGTTTTAACAATGAATGTCATAAGTAGACGAGCTGAATGTTATCCGTACCGAATAAGAGTTTCGATTCATAATTATTTTAACTTACACGAGTGCCAGTGGGTGAGCGTCTTATTAAATTATGTTCGTATGTATTTCTACAAACATGGGTATTGTTATGTAATAAAGGCTTATCTATGTATATATATGTAATGGCAATAACGTTATCATTTTATGAACAAACACACTCTATCCCAAATTTTGCTGCTTTATTATACGATGATCTATTGCGTGTTCTATAGATTTTAAACTAATTTGTTACTTTGATTACAAACTTTCTTTCGAAACAAACCGTACTTCGGTTGAAAGTCAAAATTTTGCGAAGTTGTGGAACCGAATTTGATCCGGATTTCGGCCCACCCCTAATAATTACTATCGTTCATAACGATCAGCGCTAAAAACCTCAGCTCTATTCTATTGTCATATTGTACAGTCTATGTTTCATAACCGTCATCATGAATGGCTGCAAATCACGTCGCCATGATCCGCACAATGAACAAATAAACCGCAAATTAAAGATAGGCTGCGGAGCACTAATGATCGCGAATACACTCGTAGCCTATAAATATAGTATTTGAATGGGCCTAGGCAGAGGCGGTAGGCATTAACCGTGCGATGTTCGCCCGCAGCTAGTAATTTCCGTTATCTGGCGTCCGCGTACAGGGCGTTCGTTAAAATGCAGTGTGCCGGATGCGAAATGCCAATGCGAGCTAACGCGCAACATAGAATAAAAAAGATCTAGGTATTCAGCATTTTTTAATTTTAAATTCCCCTACGACCTGCGAGTTTGCTGTTCGCTTTTTGTAGCGTGCCGACTCTTCTGCGTTTGGGATTACAAGATGCACGGTGGCTTCGCTTTGGCTTATCTTATTATGTCTTTTATCATTTTCGACAAAGATATGAAGAGGGACTTTAACTATAATAAAATAATGAATCGTGCAGTTAATTTGAATAAAAAAAATGCTAGTTTCTTAGTCACATTTCCTTCACTAATACTACGACTACTGACTAACCTCATAAGATGTATTAAAAAGCGTTCTAACATACAGTAAGGTACAGGTTGAAACAATCCACCATCAAAAGTAATATAGAGTCTACTTCTTTCTTTAGTATAGGAATTTTTCGTAGATTTTTATTACTGTCCACAAATATTTTACACTTACTTATCGCCTACATAGCTACATAAATTGAGAACGAACTTAGCGATTGGTTTACTAATTACGTAAGTTATCGTTGGTAATGATTCATAGGATGTCTGCGTGTAGATTTTGTCTCATCGCTTGGCATACATTGCTAGCGCAACTAACTTGGACTAATTGACGGACGGACGCTACAATGCTTCCATCTGTCCCTAACATCTGCCATTTGTAAAATACAGTAATAATAATTAGCAAGCCTTGTTTAAAAGACAAAGAAACGGAGCCTAAGCCAAGTAAGCAATTACAAGACGAGAACGAAACGAAAGAAAATGAGTAATAAAGGATGAACATACATACATCGGCGCTTTAACATTTATTTAACTAATATATTTCGCGTTTTAAACCGTTACAAGTGTTTTATTTCATTAATGCAATCTATTTTTGATTTTTATTTTATATTTCGGAATTTGTTTTTTATTTTTTACAAAAAGCAAAACCGAAAATAGAGCTTTTAGTCGACCGTGTGATATGATAAGAGAAATAAAATAAAGCCTCAATATTTTCCATTAACACAATCCGCTATCGAAAAATGGGATTGAATTAAAACTCAATGAAAAGTAACGTTCAAAATATAATGGTTTTTTGTTACAATTTTACGAACACTGGAAAATTTGAGTAAACATGGCCTTTTTATATTTGTGTATGATTAATTTCCCTGCTCCAGTTGAGGTCGCAGCTCGGAATCGAAACTGGTCCACATTTATCAGGTCAACGCATAAGTATTGTAACCTAGGTAGAAAGGTTGGAATTTAATGCCTTTGTCGGTGGAGTTTTTACGTAAATTTCACGGAGCCAATCCGCCACTCCAACAATGTGGTCACAAAGGCAAAGTTGAAAGTTTTGTTTTAACAAAGCGTTACTCTAGAGATACCTTTATTTATCTACAAACACAAAATTACGACCTTTTCATTACTAACAGTTGTAATCCTAAAATTAAAATATGTATTTAAAAAATAAAAGGGCATTAGGCACTGTCTCTGGTTATTTTTCTTGGCCAATTGCATTAACAGTCAAGTAGTTGACCTTTTGTGACTTGCCCGAGTGAAACAATGATTTTCGGATTGAAACCAAGCTTTTTCATTCTCAAGGCATTGTAACACATTGTTACAAAGTATTGAGTCATTATCCGGCGAGCGCGGTTAAAATTTAATATCAGTGTAAACGTTAGTCGACAACCATTCCAAACTGGTTACTAAGTAAGCTTTATGCGACTATTAGGTAAACTGTAAAATTAGCTTTTAATATTGCTGACAATAACTTGGAACAAACAAGGCACACTCACCGAATAAGCAAACAACTGCTAACGACGTCTTTTTAACTTAAAGCTTACGTACTTACGACATCGCAATTTTCAGAGTATTAGCTATACTCTCTCGAGACGTCAACTGTTATTTGTCACAAAGTATTGTAACACTTTTTCATTTCACTATTTATATAGCATCATTTTTGTTAGTCGAAGTTAATTGCGCATTTTTATTTTCCTCCTTATTGAAAATCATGTGTTTTTTTATTAGGCCACTTTGGCTCTAGCAGCCACATATATCTGCTATCAACACGAGTTGACAAATAATTATTTTAAAATTGTATTGCACACGTACTTATATAAACGAATATTTAAAATATTAATATATAATTATATACTGTGTGTAGTTTACGCGAGTACTTACTACACATTTAAATAAAACACACATTTTAAGCGTGATATATTTTAGTTAAACTTGTTTAAAAAAATATATCGCGTTCTAAACCGTCAAAGTGTTCTATTTAAAAAACACTTATGTGTCAAAGACTGTTATGAATATTATGTAAATTTTTGAACGTTACTTTTGACAAGCAGCTGCAACATTAACATAGATATTGCTTTAGAAATAATTCATGCATAGTTTACTTAAGAATAAACAGTAAAACGAGCAATCCTGTACCACGGTGATAAAGTTGTTTTATAAAGAGGCTTACGAAGACCGTTTACTTACAAGGAGCTTTAAGAAGTTCTGTGAATACCTTCTTTAGCTTCTAAAATAATTTCGAAAAATAATTTTAGGTGGATCCTCTATACTCTCCCTACCTGAATATCGCAGTACATCTAAGAAAATTGTACTATATAACCGATGATATTTCAGCAGTTTATCATAGATTTAAACATGCGCATCTCGACTTTGGAATTCGTATATTATTGCATTTTATATTTTAGCTTTAATACCAAAGTGTACAATCGCAATAAAGATACCTTACCTCCCCTAAGACTCGCAGAAGTCACCTTGTAGTGTAACGCTTATAAATAACGCCTCGAACTAAGTGCTTTTCATAGAGATTTGTTTCTTTAAACAAAGTGTGTTTAAAGAACACGTAACAAACTGACTAGGTATTAATATTTCTATAAAACATAATATAACGTATACGAATTGTTTAGTGAAAACGGCTCTGTATTTTAAACGCTAGAGTGAAAACATCATTGCTTCTGTTTTGGCTTCGCTCGTCAAGTCAATATTCATTGGTTCAGCGAAATTCCAGGCTTATGTAGTAAGACTGCGGACGCCCTAAGTTGATGTTAAGAATAGATATCAGTTTATCATCGTCGCACACGGCATGTATATCCGCAGAGATTGAAGCGCTAGCGTAAATCACTTGCGAAAACCCTCCAGCATCCGCTCAGAATATGTGGGGAATTTAAAAACGACTCAGCGAAATGTAATGGCCGCTAGACGGCGAGATTCATTCAAATTCAAATGTCATTATTAGTTCACAAATAATCCAGCTCCGAGAATTGCTTTGAAACGTGTCTTCTTTTATTAAATTTAAATTGAACGTATCGTATTGAACTCGATTGTACATTGCGCGTTCATATTGGCTTTTCATATTCAAATTGGGGTCGAACGGAGGATGAATGAAAAGGGCCGTTCCCCGGTAACTAACGTAGGTCAATATTTTCTAATGAAAACTGATGCATCGGACCCTCCCGTTTATTGTTCTGGTTTATTTTAATCAATGGTACAGATTTCATGATTATAACTTATAAGTGAGCAAGGTTAAAATGACGCAATGTCCGCCGTCTGTCGTGTAACCTTTAGGCTAAGTAAAGTTCTTTACAATTGGAAATTTCCTAGCTTAAATAAAAATTGTGAACAGTTATACAGCAGATGACGTCATAATTGCGCATCGCGTAGAAATGAAGGTAAGTATGTATTCACAAAAGTACCTTAATAAGGAAGAGTATCTATCTCTAGAGAATGATAGAGTATTCTAATCGACAGTTTAACTCTAATTAAATTGTAGCTGTAAACTATATTGCAGTTTGAAACCGCATATATTTCACAGCATAGAATTTTGACGGGAGAATTTAATTTCAACACATTGTTTCAGAGTCTAACCCTCATCATACGAGAACTTTAATAATAGCCGTATCTCTTGCTGTCCCGGATCGTGGGAACAATCGTGTGCGTCCTGGAGACAATGTAAACCTTTACTTTTTAAAAGAAGCAAGATAGCATTACAATGAATTACTTTATGTCTAAATCTATGCGATAATATATCTCCTCTCTATATTACTTAATACTTTCTTCGCCTTTCTAGTCGTAACTTTTACTTCGAAAAGATATTCTCAGTATTCGTCTTTACGATGCATTCAATTTTTTAAATCGCAATATCACTTAGCACGGTTGCTGAAAGGAGACGATAGCTATATAAAATTTAAACTAATCGCGTTTTAATCCGTTCAAGTTGTTTCGTTACAGTTACTTTTCCCATACAAGCGGCAATCAGCCGGCGACTGTCACCCGACGAACGGGATTAAACCTAGTTAAACGACCTTGCGCCGCAGTACATTTGGTGCGCGACACGCTGTGGCGAAACTTGCAGACTCCCCTCGCGTTCGAGTATTTATTATGCACACGAAGCGCACGTAGATACAAATTAACCGTTGTTAATCTCATTGCAGGATCCAATCTCGCTTCTAGAACCTAAACAATATTACGGGGTGTGTATATATAACTTGTTATGGAGTAGGTACAAATCTAACTATAGCGCCAGGGGTCACAGAAAATCAGATGTGCAACACGAGCGTCGTAACGTTATGGTGAGAGGCTCCTGTTTTAGGAGCTGCCATTGTTTAATTTAAGGCCAATATATTTATATCCTTTGTTAATAAGTTATTTTGTTTCATAGTTTTTTTGTGTGCAACTTACTTTTAAATAAATTGATTATTTATTTAACAAAGCACGAACATTTTTGTTTTTATTATTATAATATGATATTTAAGAAAACTAAATAACTCGCTTATAATTTTCTAATCTCCGAGGGATGTCACAGACGTCAGCTACGTTGTACGTACTAAATTAATTTCGGAAAGTCTGTAATAACAGGCTCAAATTTTGAAATAAGTCTGACCATTCGCCCTTGGCTTAATCGATTTTTTTTGTCTGTTAAATACTGAGAATCTTGCCAATATACATTCAATTATAAAACAAAGAAGGTTTACGCGAAAAAACCTAATATTTGGTGTTTCGTTATAAGTTTTTAATAAAAATATTATAGCAGTATGTAAAACTTGAGGTCATTATTAAAGTTGTAGAAAAAATTAATTTGTTTATAACTTTATTGAAAATACAAATATTTTTCACGACCTCTTTTCTTTCAATTTTGTTAGACATAACATTATAATAATACTAAATAACTAAGTCAGCCGACTTACCGTGTCTCCTATGTGCGTATGGGTCGATGACATCCCCCTCTCGATAGATGACCGAGTGGACTCGACCCCTGGTGTTGTTCTGAGGAAAGTATCTCTTTGCGTGCTCCACGTAGAAAGAGCCATCGCTCAGCAGGATCTTTCCCTCGAAGACTCCGTCTGTCACCGAACCGAATACTTCTGATCTTGGATCATCTATGGAAATACAATAGTGTTAAAATACAGTTGCATTCTCAATTTCGCTGAAATATTTGATTGCGCGTGCAATCTACTATCCTGTTGCGAGGTAGACACGCCGTTGTCAATTCTATGAATATTTTCCAAAGTAAATACGTTGCGCGGTGCTCGAAAAACAAATATAAAAATCGAAACACTGCAGCTAAATTCGCCTCACTGTATGAATGCAAGGAATTTTTCACGTTTTTACTAATCACAAACAATTATGCTACATAATTCATTTTCAATAGGTACTAGTCTTGATTATAATATGAAGCGTAGTGTTGAGTCTTATTAGCATCTTAATTTAAAATAAAAAAAAAAACATTTTTGTCGCAAATCAAAAGACTACGTCCACATTTACAACAAAAGAAAATGGTAGAATAATTTTATTGTAATAAAAGTCTAAAATAAGAATGGACGTTGTATATAATAATAATGTATATAAGAATAGAATTTATTTACATAGTACGTAGATTAATAATAGTTCCGATTTCAATCAATCAATTCGTACATGTAAATGAGACCTTTTATATACATTTTTCTGGTAACTCTAATCCAACCTGTATCATTCAACTTTCAATTTTAAAATTAATTTTATATCAAAGAGCAAAAGTTCCTGGGGGCGGTTAGTCATCAATCGAAATAACAATTACTTGTTGTTATTTCGACTCCCCTAAAATTGTGTTATCTATGAATTCGTTGTTACACAATATATATGCCAACTCATTTGTATCAAACATCCTGGAATGGCGTGTCAGCGTAACATTATGAAAAACGAAGGTAACAAATAGTTAAACTAAATAGTGAGTCATTTGAGCTGGGGACAGGGAGAGATAATAATAATGATTTATAGCGTGGGGGGAACGCTGCTTAGAAGGGATATTATCGTTTGATATTACTTTTGTATTGATATTTTGAATACAGATAGTGGTTTGAAGTTTGAACTACTGTATCCTTTCATCTTTGTGCGAATGATAAGGCAATATAAAGCTTAAATACTGTCTCTGTTAATATATCGCGTTTTAAACCGTTAAAGTGTTTTATTTAAATATAAAGCTTGATCAAGTCTTATTTAAGTAGGATAGTACAATAATTCTGTAATAAGTCTTTAATTTAGTTAATCTTGTCAAAAGCACAAGTCATAAATTCCTCGTTCAGACGTAAACAAAATTCTTAGCGACAATTTAACGTAAAATATTATTCTTAGATATAGCTGTAAGAAGAACCGATTAACAAACGCAAGACATACCAAGTATAACAACTTTGAAATTTTACAGTAACAAGTTTGCAGAAAAAAGCCCCAGCACGAAACGTTATCGTCCTGGGTGTTTAAAATCCAAAATGTGTGTGTGTGTGTGTGTCCAAAATTTAGTTTATATAAACATTGTATTTCAACATTGTTTATTGGAACAAAAAATACTCTAAAAGTCGAACTAGTAAGCCAGGAGCATAATTACACCGCTCATCATGCACTTGTGCAATGCAATGAAACTGTATCGATATTGTTCGTTAACAAGTTTTCAATTGTTACAGTAATAAATGTTTTTTGTTCGTTTTTATCCGAATGCCGCATTTATGTACCAATACAAAGCAACAGTTTTAATATAAAATCTCGCTGTATTAGTTAAGTAATATTTTATGTATGTTCTGTGCTTTGATCTATACATGTTGTAAGAAAATTTATTTACTTTATTAGAAGCGCTTACCAACCAGTTGACATGATGCCTAAGCGCGAGAGGTTTGGAGTTCGAATCCCAGGGATACAATAGATTATTTCGGTCGGGTAGGGCACAGAAATGTTATCAACAACTGGCACGTAAATTAAACCTATCAGTGAAACGGACACATAAATATACCTATACGCCTCATACCCCACGGGGGGAAACGGGATTTTAATTTTTACCACCCAAGTACATAAATATACATTTAATTACCACCTTAACAAAATTAAATCACAATCAGCGTTATTAAGTGTCAAAACTAAGTGTTTCTTTACGAAGACCATGCTCATAAAATAAAGGAATCGAATTAGAATACGGTACGTACATTAACTTCGTGTTTTACAAGTAGGCACATGACGTACGGCTAACGGCAGTGACAACAAGTAAAAATCCTAGGAAATCCCGTGTTTGCTACAGCAGCTAAGTGCAGCTTTTAGTCTCTCCGCAGTATATTGGCATTCCCATTTTATTCAACCATTTATCTCTTCCAGCCATCCATTTCTATCCATTATTGCATTCGCTATTGTCTACAAGCGAGGCGGAATCGCTACAAATCGCTGTTAAACGCTGACATGAAAAATATCGGCCCAAAATGATTATCAATCAATTTCATATTGGCGGAAGTGCGGAACGGTTGAAATAACTTCGAGAAGCTTTTGCGATTGGTATAAATGCACAACTACTGTAATCACGCGACGTGATACAATTAAATATTTGAAGGACGGAATTACTTATATACTCAGCATATATTGAAAACGCCGTGAAAGCCTTACAAAATTTACTCATGTAACTGTATGACTGCATAGGTTTCAACTATCTACTGAGGTATATAAAGCCTGTGTGTATCAATATTATTACTACTACTGTGCTAGGGGACTTCGCCCGCGGATTAGATATTGGCCTTAAAATTTGTTGTAACCACCGCCTCATCTTTATAAATTATGCTGCTGTTAAGTGTCATTATACTATCGCAATTTTTTAGATCATTGAAAGAGTAATCATTATTTTATAAATATTTTTTTGAGACTTACTAGCAATAAAAACTCTCAAACATGATATTTCCCCCTTCTTTCTATTTCTTCGCTGCTATTGGTGGCAGCGTGACGTTTTATACGCTAGAGCTTTTCTCGGAATCACTAGAGCAAATATAATTTTTCAATTCGATCTAAGTAGCAGTTTCTGAGATTAGCGCGCACACAAACTCCTCAGTTTTATAATATTAGAATGTACTCGTATTAAATGAATTTGTTTGAGTAACCTAGGCGTTTAACCAACGATATACGTAAGCAAATATCATCCATTCGAAAATATCAAATAACGGGGCAGACGGAGACAGATCGAGATTATACAAGTTAAAAGGGGTAAACACGAATGAGATGTGTTTCCCGCGCAAACCGCACGCCTCCGAAAATCTCCACTAAATTCTAAAGGGCACGCCAGAAAATCTCGTACATTTTCATAATTCACTAAAGCCTCCTCTCGCCGAGCTTTATTTTTATATGCCGGCGAACATTTTTTTTGCTTATTTAAAGGACATTTTTAATGAATTGTCGGTGCAAAGAAAGGGTGGAAAATCCAAAAATTTGAATAAAAAAAATAGATGAGACCGCTACTGCAGGTTTAAAAGGATTTTTGGAGTCCCGGCGTGCTTTGTTTCTTTTAATACTTACATTCAGGGAGCGATTTTATTCATGTTTAGATTTAAACGAGACTAAATTAATCTATTCAGCTCAGGTAGTAACTTTATAAAAGCTTATAGAGAATTTTACGTATTAACACGGAAAAATGGGGCCTTTTCTTTTCAAATCGTCGCTGGCGGATGAGATTATAAATTATACTTGGGTAAATATACTGTTATAAAGAAGGTAATTCATTATAACTAGAGGTAGCGTTCGTAATAGAATAACTATATTACTATAGTACGAATAAACATATATGTATAAGTTTTGTCGAAATTAAGTCCTGACGAAACGTCGAAATCACAAACCACCTTCAACAGATAAAAAATAAGTCAAAAAGTTTCAGTCAATTGGAATTTTCAATATTGAAAGCCATACTAGGTCGATAATGCATCTTGTTTAGATTTTGTATGGCTGGGGAATATCACCTAATATCAAGGCATTTCATCTGTGGTCAATTAGTACAGAAACGGCACTGCCGTTTGAACTTTTTTGATCTTAAATTCCTTTTCAACGTTACGATATCGATGGCCTCAAGTGAGGTACAGGAGAGCGGGCATCCGTACTGATTATCTGATGCATAAACACGGCAAGTGCATCGATGGTGGCGTAAGTAGGGCGACGAACTGCGATCGATGCCGCCCTCGCAACTCCATCCATTTACACGCCACCAAACTTTGCGATTATATTAAACGTACTCGCTACGCAGAGGTCGTGACCGGTAGGCATCTAGTGGACTACAAAAACGCCAGAGCCAATATTGATTACTTAAGTGGTATTAAAATTATGTACTTTTAAAGATTAATAAAAAAGTTAATGAAGAAAATTTTCAAAAAGATAACAAACCTAGAATCTTCAATAATTCACGGATCATCCGTCCATTTTAACGGTTATTAAATTTTTCTTTGTAATATTGCGTTTATGTCAGTGAATACTCGTATATGAAAAAAAGAGTGTTTGAAACATAATGGTTTTTGTTCGAAGCTAGAAATTTTTAATTATTTTACACATAGAAAGGAATCCATAACTTCTTAATATAAGTTCTTCTTAATATAATAAATAATAAGTTAACAAAAAGTATACATCTTCATAAGGGCAAACACTTGTAAAACTAGCTTATATTGTAAAAATTTAAATTGATATCATCAAATGTCTAAAATAAAATACACCTAACCCAAGCAAGAGATCCACAGTGCATTGTAATGAGATGTATAAGGGTGCGGTATTACCTACCATCATGCTTGTAAGATTCCTGTGTCATAAAAAAATTAGGTCACGATGAAATAACATATATTATTTTCACTACACGAGTGGTACATATGTAAATAAAACCGTTTTAACGGTTTAAAACGGTAAAGACATCGATTAACTTATTTACAAACAAATTCATTTTAAATACGTTAACTATAATATTCCACGTTTTAAACCGTTATAACACATTTATTTCAGTTTGAAAATACGAATAGTTAAATATACATCGCATTTATTTGTGTATCTATGCGTAAATGGCGCGCAAACGAGTCTACTAGGCAACCAATTATAAACAAAGCCCCCGATAACATTGCAAAGCATTGACCATTTCAGCTGAAGCATGCGCCCGCAGACATTAAAACTCGAGTAGCCCCCGAAAGCCCCCAATTAGCCTGGGTCTTTGAAGCCGACGAGGCCGAAATTACTAAAAAGAAATATGGTCTCCTCCTGTAGAATTATTAATGTCTAAGGGATTCAGTTATATTTACAGACGTTAATGCCTAGATTACAATAATGATCTCGGATGCGCATTTTCATTTAGTATGAAATTAGACACATCATGGAAGAACCCTTCAAACCTATAACATTTAAGTAAGGACGCACTGGCGATCTATTTTTAATTTGGACCTTGGAAAATCTATAGACTGAGGCCGAAAGACTTTGCTTCTAATAATATATTTAAAGGTACATAAGTCTCTGTATATTATTACCATTTATGTAGCACCGATCTATTGTACTCAAAAGTTAATTTTCTTTGGGGGAAATAAACAATGGTACTCTATCTCGAGTAGATAATGTCGTTTCAGGAGTACAATAGAGCGAAGTTGTTCCGTGACGCCAGTCCGCGTCACCCACAAACTTTGTACCTGTCTTGCTTTAGTGTTTCGCGCTTTAAGAAAATGGCTCCAAGTTTATTAGTTAAGACTTAATACACAATAGTGTTATACGTGTGATTGTAGAAGATTTACGATTTGATATTAATAATTTTTAAAGGCTTGTCTTGCATTGTTGTTATTTATGGAAATGGCCACTTTTGTCATCGTAATGACATATGGGTTAAATGGGATAGGAACTGAATAATACCTATATTTGTACATACATATAGTAGGTAAGCAAATTGTGTGTGTGCTGAAACTCTGTTTCCCACTTGAATTTTTTTCTCATGAAATCATAGAAGTCCTGAATTGTGTGTGGGGGGTGGGTCAGAAATAAATTAACATGAAGAGGTCAGAAATAATTAACTAAATTATCATAATACATTTGAAACACGTATCGAATTATAATTCAAAATACTGTAATACTTAGAGTAATGTTTCAATCTTCGCAAGGCTCGCCAAACAGACAGCCAGCGGAACGAATCCCTAAATATAATTCATGTCACGCAGAAATCCGCTCAGTGCAGCTTCGCATTGCTCGGAATTTGTGACTCCACCATACATTACGAACTTCGTAATATTCGCTGAGGAATCGGTTCATATTTAGATAATCTAGCCTCACAATCTCACGAGATGCTTTTGAATTTGTCGCTTTGACGAGTATGTGAAGGATTGGTGTAGGATATATAATCATTTTGTATACTAATATAATTCATTAAAATACAAACATTTTTTAGACAAAGAATTTTTAATCTATTCTAAACAATACACGTTGGCTAGAACTGAATCTGTCATTCTTTTGGCACCACAGTTATCAAATTTTGACAAAGCCGTAGAACTTAGTTTGATGTAACGAAATGGAAATGGCATTCATTTTGAAAAAAAAAAACCGTATAAAAACAAGGACACTTACCGTCCACCTCGCCCGAGTATATGTGTGATGTATCCACTTCGTGCAGTTCCCCTTGGGAGCCGTGGACCTATATAACAAACACTATTTAGATACACATACAAAGATGGGAAAAAATAAATTCGTCAAACTTTATACAGCAAATTGTAAAAAATACTAAATTTGTTAGTTGTTTTATACTAGAATATGATGTTAGATGTTACTTTGTGCTTCATCAAAATTACTTTCTCTCTCAGAGATCGGTGTTTGAAAAGCATTAAGCTCACTCATTAGCGGATATCACAATTTCTAGAACAAGTAATACTTTCGCTACGTTACACTTAATCTTATGAGTCTTCGTATGTTAATTGATAAGTAAGAAATGCATTATGTATTTTGGTAAGCAAGTATAGAAGTATTGGTAAAATTACAATGTATTAACAATATTTTCAATCATCAAATCAACCTTATAAAAATCTACTTCGTCTATCTTCAACGTTTACCTATATAACTTATACATATTGAAATAAAACACTTTAACGGCTTTAAACGCGATCTATATTAATTAAACTTATTTGAAAATTGTAACTACAGCCCGACGTTTGGGATGCTTTACGGCAGTCGTGGTCACGGGGAGACTAAAGGAGGTCTCAGACGTCAAAGTAAAAACTGCTACGCTAGAGACATCTGTTCCGTCGAAGTTGGTATTCGACGTAACGTAATACTCGCGTAAACTACAGACAGTATTTAACTTATACATAATTTACATGGTTTTAAAATGTACCTTAAAATCATCACTGAAGGAGGATAGATCGCGCCGCAACCGAAGGTTGAAGTGGCGGCCGTGTGCATAAAAGTTGATGCGCAGGTCCGGCGGATCTGTGGATCGACGCGCACGCAGATGCTGAAGATGTATTTCATCTGCATTATATCTCACCTCCTCGTAGTGTTCTACGAATTCGCTGAGGCGGCGCGATGCTGCAACAAAATAGATCATGTTAAGTTGATTGTTATGGTAAAATATTTTATTCTGAACCGTAGAAACGATGTATCTAAGGGGAATTAACACACCTGAAAAATATGTTCTTACCTATAACATTATCTTTGTAAGATTTCACAACAAAAAATACGTAGCTACATTTTTAGGTTTAGTGTGAAAAAAGATCATAGTTATTTTTAGTTTTTAAGTTAACTCTTGTTAGTGTTAAGTAAGAGCCTTGGACGCTCCGTGCGATAATAAAGAAAGCTAAAAGAAAAGTTTTCCCGTATCTTTCTTTTACTTACAAGTTTACAACTTACAAGCACAGTTTTAAGGTTATTTTTCTAATAAATAACCTTTCCACTACGTTTTTGAATCTATTTTCAAACAGTAATAAACATAGAAGATTATTTATTAAAAATATAAAACAATACAACAACTATTAAACACGTTTTTTTTTAACCAACATGTGCGATTTATGATGTGCACGTATGGTGTGCACATGTAATCCAGAATTGCATTGAACGTAAATAATATTCTATTCAAAATATTATGCTTCACATTTTACAGCCAATTAAGGCAATATACCTCAGTTTAGTGAGCATAGAACGTATTACTATAGTACATATATGTAACGGCCAGTACTTTACTTAACAGTACGATACTTTTTCCAATAGTTTCTACAGAATAAATTTTCCATTTATAGTTTAATAATATAAACAATGTTTTCCGTATCCACATACTTTAAGACATAAATATCACGTTTTACGGATGCAACTGAGCCATAGTTTTCGTCTTCCTACAATCAAATACTATTTGGGGGTGGTAAGCTATTGATTAGGTAGATGCTGTAACATATAACCTAGGCTGCGTATATAAAAAAATTAGTAGTGAAATCTTGATGCCCGGGATAATCTATGAGACAGCTGTAGCTGAATGCAATCTGAGAGCGAGGCAGCGTGAAACGTGCTGGATTTATGCAGCTCAGAATTGATTCCCTCGCGACAGAATGCTTATAAAATATGTGCATGAGACTTCCCAAATCCTCTAATGCATACGGAGTTTGTAATCTATATAATGTTTTGTTTCGCAACAACTTTTCTGGAAATATAGTTTACCTTATATATTTCATTATCTTTGAGATTCAATGTTCGAATGGTTTAGGATATTTTTCTTAAATATAAGGAGGAGAATATACATAGTTATACAAAAATGATATTTACAAATATTCGATATAGATAGAGGTATAATAATTGTATTAGATCCGCTTTACTAATCTCCGCATATGTAAAAGGAAGACAAATACAGACAGACAATAAATTTCCATTTTCTGTTGCTTTCATGTTCCACAGACAAACCACATTTCTATTGCATTTATAGCATATATTTTAATCTAAATACAATCAGAGGCCGGTGATGCATAATATGCGCGAGGCAAAGCCTCTCTTTTGGGATTAGGGCCCCTTCGCTTGAATGCTAATAAAATGTACAAATGTCACTTTCCACTCGGATCAACCACTCCGCCCCGATGGCACTTGGGAGTGATTCAGGTAAAAGCCCGAAGGGAGAGGAGTCAGTACCTACCCTTAATTACGTCCATTACGGATAGAATTATACAGTATGTTTTGTTAGTTTGCCTTTTAGTCCTTAAAAAATCGACGTGCTCAGTATTGCGAACCAAGTACAATCTATTTACCATTTTTTATCATATGTTACAAAATTGCGGTGTGTTACGTATGTCAAATATTATTCTTGTTGAAGCATCTGTAGACTTTATATAGATAATTATGAAGTTAATCTGTGTACGTAGTACAATGTCTCGATCACTTCCGGGTGCTTTAAATAAGTGGCCTAGATTTGTTAACAAAACTGTAGAGGTGAGGACCACATAGTTTTTTGTTAACAACGCGCGTATCGGCGAGTCATCGATCGTTCATCGACATCCGCCTAGGAGTTGAAGTGCGATTGTTGTGAAAAATCTGTGAACATGCAGATGTAGATATTTCATTCAAAAATAATATACCTTATTGTGTACAATATAATCATCTGTAGAAGATAGAAAACATAAAGTAAGATCTGCAATGGAAATACCGAAAAAAAAGGTATATAGACATATATGTACATAACTTAATAAGACCTCAAAACTATGTGTATACAAACAATCATACCTAGGTAAATCCGCAACGTTTTCAAAGCGAAATTGATAAACAAAAAGCGTTATCGTAATATAAAACAGAAAACAAAAAAGGCATTAATCAACTAGCTTATTTCAATAGATAAAGTAAAAAATTCATTTAATACAATTTATTTAAATCATTTTTCACAGCCTAGCTTTATGCCCAGTTCTTTGTTTATAATGGGAGTTAGATAAAATGATAATATAAAAAGCTAAAGAGTTAAAGGTAAAAAACAAGTCTTTAAAACAATATAATACAATTTAAAATAATTCTTCTGTTAGTTAGCCCCTATCACACGGTCAATTAATTATATTACTGTTAACATGCAAGACGTAGAACATGACTTCATCGTTAAAGATCGATAACAAAAGATCCGAAGCGTCGATATAGCGCATTGTCATATTGTGTGTAAAGTAAATCTTTGCACGTACATCACACAGCATTTCCACTTATTGTTTCAGGGTTAGGGTTGTCACTTTTCGTTTTCATAATAATAACGAAGTAGGTAAGCAGTAGTAATCTTTCATTCAGGTAGTTTAGGTTAAAAGACCTGCGTAGCTGCTGCTCGAAAAACAAGAACGTTTTAATCAATGACGATAATACATTATATGTAAGTTAGCCGAAAGCGATCGATTTTTCTTCGGTTTCTTATAAGACAAAGAGATTTGGACCACTGGTCCCACATAATTTATTATTACTTTGTATCTAAATTCAAGGTCTTAAGCCATGTTACATATTACCAGACTGAAACGATGTCCCAAAAGAACTTACTTTCGAAATATTATAAAAATTGTCAAATACCAGTTTTTGTAATTATTTAAAAGTTTTTCAAGACCAAATTTACCCAGTATGATTTAATATATTTCACAATTGTGTGAAATATATTAAATCATCCTATTGAGGTACTTCAACTTTGTGTATTCCCTAGGCATTGTTTGTATGGTTATTAATAAAATGTCGTCGTGTGAACAACCGCGAACGTCGAAGCGTGGAGACGAATGATGTGGAAATAGATTGTCTATAATTAGTTACCCGCCTGAAGACTTCAGTTCCTTAAACACAAAACTCGGCTTGTTATATTGTTAAGCAGAAGGGGGGAAAGGGTGTATTTAATATAAAACATGTGAATAACTCATGCCATTAGAGACATGTTTCAGTTAACTTGGAATAAATTATACTATTTGGTTTGGCCGAAAAAGTAAGAAAGCAATATAAAAGTTGAATCAACAATATGCCTGGCCTATCTCAAGATAGCTCTAGATAGTTAAGAAGATTTATTTGCCTCATTTTAATAATAAGAGGCACAATTACCCGCATACTATGACTTAATGAAGTAATAAACTAATACTGAACATCACAATCGATTCGATTTCATCGCACTTTCGATTACGAGTAATTAATAGCTGCCACGATGATAAAAGAAATTAAGCAGAGTAGCTGCATTAAGTATATTTGCTGATTGTAATTTTGGCAATAGTAATGGGTTATGCCTAAGATACATAGATATACAAATAAATACTATTATTGAGAAAGTAACATAGGCCAGGAATCGGATACACTTCTCACCTGTAAATAAAAAACTGACACATAAATATGTCTGCAACATGCATTTAACGAGATTTAACCTTGTTGTTACTTTATACCCGTGTTGATAACATTGCAATAAAAATATGATTGTTATATTAAGGTTACATAACTAAATACTTATGTGAAATAAAACCTGTTATAAATATTTATCGGGCTTTAGCAGCTTAAATAGGGAGTATATTATAAAATAAATAATTTTTACTTTAACAACTTAATAGTTATGTTTCGACATTTACGCGTCAGCTAAGATACCAAGAATTCACCTTTAGGGCAGAGAAAGGCCGATAAGTTTTAAAACGCAGATATACCACTTATACCTTTTTCATCTGTGAACGATGTGTGTTGTGATCTCAACGGAATTTCTATATTCCTAACTCCCATTCAATATCCAAATCTTCCAGACAGAGTCTTACATGTTGCAAATAAACTATAAAGGAATTTTTTAAAACCTGGATATTGGACCTAGTGGAAATCGAACCCGTTAAATATTAACTATACATTGCTACCAATCGTAACGAAAACTAAACGAGTCTATAAACTAAATTAACTTTGAGTCATCCACTCCTCGATCCACACAGTTACTCCTCTAATATCAAACTGTAGGACGACTAAGATCAACAAAAAGAAGCGAGAGAAGTTCAACAGTGTGTCATCGTGTATTAGCTCAAGCTTCAGAGAAACTTGGCCCGTAAAGGCCTTAAACATAATTCGCAACTTAAGTGTTTGTTACAAGCGCGTCAGTGTCTCGACAATGGCATACCTACTTGCAAAATAACACGCAATAACGAGCAACTTAATTTGCGTGGTAGTACAGCCAGTATACAAACATAACAATTAAATGACACACATAACAATTTAATCCTTAGTTTTTTCATGATAATTCATTTTCTCAAAGAAAAAAATACACTTCAACTCTTTTAAATAAAACACTTTAACAGTTTAAAACGCGTATTTTAGTCAAATCAGAAATGTATCTGCCCCATGTCATAAATGGAGCTAGCACAGGAGCTATCTTATAATATTAGAGGAGGACAGACAAGCAAGATTCACTTGATGGTAGGTGATGGGATGAAATCACCCGTATAACATCTAAACAAGACGCGCTGTCGACCTTTTTGGCTTTGGATTTCCTTTTATAATAATCTACTGCACGGCAAGGATCTCACACGTGACTGATTTTAATTACTGATTTATATACTTGACTTGATTGTATAAGTAAGTATTATATTATGATG